ATATATATATATATATATATATATATATATATATATATATATATATATATATGATGAATTATAATTAAATTCTATAACGGTTTTGGATAAAAGTCTGAAAACTTGTATACAAGGTGCTTTTCGTACGTACTAAAACATATAAAAAATTTAGAGAAATCAAAAAGGGTCGCGTATGAGACTCCGTGATTTGGCATGGACTACCCCACATCTGAAAGGAAAAAATATTTTAAAAAAAACTGATTTATTACTCATTGATGATAAATTTTAGTTACTAATGGACGCAAAAATGTTGAAGCAATAAGAACAAAATTCCGGATACTTGATTCATATAAAGTGATGAAGATACTTAATCAATTATGCCTACAACGTATGCATGGTACCTTTATTAAGTGTCGTAGCCAAAACCTCAATGGTTTATCAGAGCTTGCAATTCGTTTCCATATCTATTAAGGTCTAAACATTGCATTTAATTAATTATTTTATTTTTAATATGGATAATAACTAATGACAAATGATAATGACTAATTATTATTTCTTTGGTTTTTTTTCTCCATAAAATAGGATTTGGAAACAGAGTTGAGATTAGTTGATCAGAACATCGACAAGTTCACACGTATAATAAAAATGATGGGGGTTGATTATTTATGAATACCAAAAACATAAATGTATTTAATTGTCAATGTTTATTTACTGGGTACCCTTAAATTTTTTATTATTGAAAATATGCTATTGGTCATTAAAGAAAATAAAAATATTCAAATTTTTCGCATAAACAATTTTTTTTTTAAATAAAAATATATGCATTAAACTTCTAAATCAGATATTATATGGATGACTATTGTGGAAATAAACTGATAAGTAAATAATAATTAATTAAAAAAAATATATTTGTATATTCTTGAATAAAGTAAAAAATAATATCTTCATTCGACGAAAAATGCGTCATACTCAAGCGAAGTCGGTATGATCCTAAATCAATAGTACCGACCTCAAATCGAGAGAAAAAATACTTGAGAGACCGCAAAAATAATTTTATAAATTGACTAAATGTCAATAGAACTAATCGGGAGCAATTTATTGGGTTAATAAAATATATAAAAAAATAATAATTTTTTGAGATATAGGGAAAACCATTTTTGTAATTTTGACTGCAAATATTTAATTAAACAATTATCTAATCACTGGAGCAATTACGGATCCTGAAAGAGCATTTGAGGAGCAATTTAAAGCCTATTGAGTTATTATATATCGTTGTAATTTATATATACACATTAATAATCTCTTCCATTATAATTTTTATTTTATAACTATAAATTTAGTCAAATTAATTGCATTAAGTTGTTAAGATAAATTTTTTTAATTTAGTATATATTTTAAGAAATAACTAATTACTGAATCGAAAAAATAATTGTTGAAGAAATCTGAAAATGTCTAATAATCTTATATTTTTTCTATCTCCCAAATTTATCATTAAAAATCTGTTTGATTTTTAATAATAAGAAATGAAAAACACCAATTAAATAGCATCTGAGAGCGATGGTGCGGATATTCGGAATTCCCAAATATTAAAAAAAATAAATAAAACAGACTATATTTGCACTGTTTGAATTCAGCCGCAGTAAACAACAATTGTTACCCAAGTCAATTATAATGTCAACACGGATGATGTAAGTGTTAGAATAAATACAATCAAAATCATTGTAAAAACTTCCACACCGATAATATCACACTAGACCTTGAAATGTTGATATCCCTGATACTAGCATAAATTGTTTGCCAAGTACACATCTTGTCTATCAAAATCAAAATTAAAATCTTATTGTCGGAAATAAATGAAATATGAAAAAAAAATATATAACCTTGAAACTTATTTTAACATCTGAGCCATCAAATCTATTAATATAGATTAGTAACCTTTAATGACACTGAAGTTAGCAGACGTCTAAAATTTTTTGATTTTTTTTTTTTTAATTAAATTACAACTAAAAAGATATTTTTAAAAATTGCACTTATAGTTTTTCAATTTTTTAACAAGTGATATTTTTTTTTTTAATTGTTTAATTGAAATTTTTTGGATAAAAAAATTTCTAAAAATTTTGAAATGTCAGCTAACTTCATTAGCCATAACCTTTTTCGCTATTTAAATTTAAATTTTGCGCGCGCATTTTTTGCAAACACACAAGATGAAAGAGTTTTATAAAATTGCAATCACGCCCTCTATAAAAATATTTCAAGTCAAGATCAGGATCAGGCCAGCATCGAGCATCAAGACGACATCATCAACATCAACGTCACTCGACAAGAAAATCAGCTGCCAAATGACAATAATATAATATATATAACTATTGAATAAAACTGTTCGTGAGAGCAAAACCGCGAGAGTGAGAGTGACATCAAACATCTTGACCCTGTTATTATTAATAATTATTTCAAACGAGAATCACCCGGGCATTGGAATTGGAGAGTTGTTGCCGTTAGTTGTCTTGCTCTCGTACTGTGCGAATAATATTCATATAATTTATAATCTACAGTGCTTAAAATTTTTAATTGTCTTGTTTATCATTTTAATTTTTAATATAATTATTTTTTAAACTGGCTGTGATAATTTATTTATTCAAGTGTTAATTACTGTCAGGTGTCTAGCTATCTATTGAGTGTATATAATAGTACTGCTGTTATTATTAATTGCAATCAGATTTAATTTACTTGTCTCTCTATTTTTTAATCTATTTATCATTACAGACTCTATTATTCCGTCCAGATACGAGTATTATCAACCAACACGTTACGTCTTAGGCATATAGCTTGACTGTGTGTTGTCATTTGTCTATATACATATTTGTTATCTTTTTTTTTTTTTATCGGTCTTTCTCTCTCTACTTCTCTCTATCTCTCTGTCTTTTTCTTACCAGCCGCGTCGATAAAATAAACTATGCCTCACGTTTGTAGCGGCACAACATTGGGTAGAAGTAGGAGGATAGTTATCAGTAGGGCCTGGCCGAGTTCAAAACGATCATGGGAGTACGGGAGACGACCGCTGTATCCAGATTCACCGCCAATAGCTGGTATTAACAGAATTTCAACCTCAACAATTCAACGTGGTCACTTAGCTGCATTCCCACTGTCATCATCACTATCGCTGTCATCAAAAAAACCAACAGCGGCGGTAGCGTCATCACTGGTAAAAACATCCGGTAAACCAACAACAACGTATCGAACGTTCAGTAGTACAATGGCTACAGCTGGTGAACATCATACCCTGACGATAGACAATGTATTCTCCAATTTACGGCGTATGGAATACGCTGTACGTGGACCACTTCTTCTACGTGCTTTGGAAATTGAAAAGGAACTTAAAAAGGTATGTTGACTAAGTAGTAATTTATTTTTCATTTTTTAAATAAAAATTAATTTTAAAACAATCCGGCTTGTGTGCCAAATTTAAACGCGTTGAATTTTACCTTTTTTTGAATTATCATTTTTTAATTCTTCAATTTACAGGCTTTATTTATAGTTGAAGAAATATTTAAGCTGATAAATATTTTATCTATCAACCATTTATTACGAGAATAGATTTTTATTACAATTATTTTAAAGTTTTTATTGTTTTATTATAGAAAAAAAGATGATAACGTAGTACGTGACTTTTATTGAAATTCATAACACCGGCGTGTGCTTTATTTTGTTATTTTTTTTTTCTTTATAAATTTATACATACTTTATTGTTAATTTATTTACACACTAAAAATCCTATCTCTAATTTATTTACTTAGAAGTAATAGATGCAATTGACGTGCTAAGCATCATAATTATTATTTTATTTTTATAAATGTATGTTAATTTATATTTTTTAACTACCTAAGTAATTTAAATAAGAATACATTTACTATTTTTTTTTTTTTTACATACAATAATTCTCATTTTTTTAATATAGTATAAATGATAATAATAATTTTTGTAAAATTAAATTAAAGTGTTATTGACCTGACATATAATTAATACTACTATTTTAATCTGGTTTTATCGATTTTTCTGAATACTAATAATGACGCATATTTAATGTTATTGATAACATAAGCTATAATCTCTCTTTTTAATTATATATAATAATCTGGTAATTCCGGTTTTATTGTACTCAATATTAACCCGATAATTTTTTAATTATTAAAAGATTATAATAAAGTAAATATTTTTTTGTATACAAAAAATATTATTTTTATTCTCATGATTATTACGATTAAAATATTTTATTAGATAAATTGTGTACTTCCTGCCAGTAAATTACGTACATACACAAATGAATAACTCGAATCGATCAACGTGAATTGCGTACATTAAAACTTCATGCAAATATGTTCTCAGAAAAATATAGCATAATATTTTATTAAGTTAATTATCATGACCTTAAAACAGTATATATATATATATTTTGTTGTAGGGTGTGAAAAAACCATTCAAAGAAGTAATTAAAGCCAACATCGGAGATGCACATGCTATGGGCCAACGACCAATTACAATTCTACGTCAATTATTATTATTAACAATCTCACCAGAGCTTATGAATGATCCCCGTTATCCAGAAGATGTTAAAAATCGTGCAAAAGCTATATTGAATGATTGTAAGGGTGGTAGTGTTGGTTCATATTCCGAATCACCAGGAATAGAAATAGTTCGTAGACATGCAGCTGAATATATTGAAAGACGTGACGGTCATCCAGCTGATTATAAAAATATTATTTTATCAAACGGTGCATCAGATGGAATAAAGTCATTTTTAAAATTATTCAACGAAGAATTGAATGGGCTACCATCAGGCGTTATGATTCCAATACCTCAGTATCCACTTTATTCAGCAGCATTGGCGGAGTTTGGTCTTTCACAAATCGGTTATTATCTTGATGAAGATAACAAATGGGGATTAGATATAACTGAGCTAGAGCGGGCTTATAATCAGGCCAAAAAGACTTGTAATCCACGTGTTATCGTAGTTATCAATCCTGGAAATCCAACAGGACAAGTTCTTACACGCGCTAACATCGAAAATGTCATACGCTTTGCTCAAAAAAATCGCCTATTTATATTGGCTGATGAAGTCTATCAAGATAATATTTATGACCCAGACAGTGCATTCCATTCATTTAAAAAGGTCATGATTGAAATGGGAGCTCCTTATAATAAAATGGAACTAGCATCGTTCATGTCTATATCAAAAGGTACTTAACTCGAGTATTTTATTTCAATTTTTTTTTTTTTTATACTTGACTGACGATTACATGTAGGAAACTTAAAAAAAAAAAGAAAAAAATTGTTGAGTTGTTTTTATGTTTGAATCATTAATCAAACAGAATAGGTCACGGATCTTATGTCTAAAGTTAACAGTATAATAATTAAGTAGTTGTTATTGTTATTATTATTATTATTATTATTATTATTATTATTATTATTATTATTATTATTATTATTATATTGAATATACATATGAATATTGAACTAGTTTAATTTATAATTTATAACGCAATATTTTTAATCTCATTCATTTATCTTATCTTTCATTATTTTCTATCAATCATAAATTGGTACTGCTTATTTGAGGACAGTCTGTGTCTAATTTTATAAAGAAAATAAGTATTGATTAAAATGAATATTTCAACAGGATACATGGGTGAATGTGGAATTCGATGTGGGTATGCTGAATATTTCAACATGGATCCTGATGTTATGGCAATACTTTCAAAGTCAATTTCAGCGATGTTATGTCCAACTGTACTAGGTCAAGTAGCTATGGATGTTGTGGTCAATCCTCCCAAACCCGGTGAACCTTCGTACAATCAATTTATCAAAGAAAAAACAGCTGTACTTGAATCATTAGCTGAACGATCACGATTAGTTGTCGATACACTCAACAGTATTCCAGGTTTTAAGGTAAATTATTAATTAATACATAAATTTATTTTTATTTAATTTAAATAAAATTATTTTATTTTTTGTTAATAGAGTAATCCAGCTATGGGTGCTATGTATGTATTTCCGAGAATAGATTTACCACCTAAAGCGATCGAAGCAGCTAAAGCCGCGGGACAAGAACCTGATGTATTTTATGCATTTAAACTTCTTGAAGCCACGGGTATTTGTGTGATTGCTGGTTCTGGTTTTGGACAAAAACCTGGAACTTATCACATTCGTACAACTATTTTACCACAAAAAGAAATGATTAAAACGATGCTTAACAGTCTTAAGGAATTCCATTTGAAATTTATGAAAGAGTATAGTTAAAAATTTACATAATTTATAAATTAATGATATTTTTAATTCGACAATAATGATATTTGATTGATATTTAATACTTTTAACACTATTTTTATTAATTACTTGTATTAGTCAATTGATTTTTTATAATCCATACCATAATTATCTTTTTCTGGCCTCCGGCCGGAAAGTGGCAACTTTCTGGCCGCTGCGCTAAACAAAGTTGCCACATTCCGGCTACGTCGAGCAGAAAAATAGTATACACACCTTGGCCAGTAAAAAGTAAAGCCTCAGACCACATGTTTGTCAACCTCGGCTTCGCCTCGGCCAACAATTACATGTGGTCTGAGACTTTTCTTATTTTACTGGCCTAGGTATGTAATATACTATTAATAACAACCTGTAAATTTTTTATTTTAACAAGTGAAAATTTTGGATCGTTCCAAATTTGTAAATACTTTCTAAAAAAAAGTCACAACTAATACAAAAAGTATTTATCATAATTATTATCACAGAAACTAAATGTCTATATATTGTTATACAAATATTTGTTTAATAATATTTAATAGCCTCAGTCGTGTATTCAAATTGAAATGTTATAAAATGAAAAAAAAAAAAAAATAATTTCAAGTTATTTATTAATAAAAATTAAATATCCAAATGCTTACTAGTAATTAAAATGAATATTTTTATTTAAATACAACAATAATTATAAATCATCAGCAAGTATTTCAAACTCATTAACGAAAAATCTCATATCATCTTCATTTAATCCTGAACTCTGTAATACAAGTCTAAAGAAATTAGGTCTACCGTGCAGAGGTTGATAAGTAACCAGCATAGATCCTTTTTTAACCATTTTTTCTTTTATTATCGGTGCAATTTTATGTAATACCTGAGTTAATTGATCATCTTTCATATGTCTTTTTGATTTAGGAACATACCAAAAGCAAACATTTGTACATTCTGGTTCTTGAAATAATTTCCATCCATCTCTATCACGAATTAAATCAGCAAAGTATCTTGATAGTTGAAATACCCGATCAATGTGCATTTCAAAACCTGCAGTACCTTTGGCTTTCCACATGAACCAAAATTTCAACACATCAGCTCTTCTACCACACTGGACATGTTTATCACCAGAGTCAAAAGAAGTATCATAAAATTTATCTTTTTGAAATAAATATGTTGCATTGGAACTGTGAGCTGACTGAAGAAGGTTTTCATGTCGCACTAAAAGTGTCGAGCATTGTTGAGGTGCTGCTAATAATTTATGAGGATTCCAAGTCACTGAATCAGCAAGTTCAACGCCGTCAAGATATCCTCGATGTTTAGCAGACATTAGAGCACCACCGCCCCAAGCAGCATCAACATGCAACCACATCTTATACTTGGTGCAAATTTCATGGATACGCCGAATAGGGTCATAAACACCCAAAACGGTTGTCCCAGCAGTAGCTGAAACCATTAACGGTACTGCATTTTCAGCTAGAGCACCAACAATTTGTCCTTCAAGATTATCAACGTCCAATTTTCCCATCTTATCAACTTTAATGCAGTAAACGTTACTGGTACCGATTCCCAAGAACGCAGCCAATTTTTTTATCGAGTAATGAGCATCTTCTGAGGTAAATACAATGAGTCTCGGCAGCCCAGACAATCCTGTTTCTTTTAACTGCGGAAATTTATAATGTCGAGCTAGATTGATTGCGTATCCATTAGCCATCGAACCTCCAGGACAAAAAATTCCGTCGCCTTGACCGTCTTTCCACCCGATGATTTTCCTCATTTCACATAATACTTGGTTCTCCATCAATGAAAATACTGGCGATACTTCGTAGGTGTATACTGATGGATTTAATGCATCAGTCAACCATTGTCCTACCAATCCATACGGATCAACACTGGAAAATAATTGATTTACAAACCGTGGATTGCCAGTTTTGACACTGTACTTGATGACACCACGAATTAAATTCAATAATTCTTCATGAGATGTACCATTTTTTTTCAATTGTAGATTTATCAATGAGGGTAAACTTTCTGGATCCACCCACTCGACGACTTTAGTGTTGCGTGAAGTGCCCTAGATTTAAAAAATTTACTTTATAATCATACTGTAGTTTTTTATTGCATTATTTTCATTTAAATATTTTCACTCTAATTTACGGAAAATTGCTACGTGTCAAGAAATAATTTCGTAATGATGGAAATTAACTATCTCAGAAAGTTCATTGATCCAGTGAAACGTAACGAGGAGAACGGTTGTCAGAAAATTTATTATTTATGACAAATAGTAATAGTAATAATTATTGAATAATTTTAGTATTAATTAATTATTATTTATTATAAAATATTTCATTAATTAATAACAAGATTGTTCATTAAATAAAATATGGTATGGGTAACTTATTATAACACTGTGAAGTATATAATTATTTTAAAAAATGCATGTAGTAATTTAATATTTATGACATTAAAGTTAGCAGACGTCTAAAAATTTTTGATTTTTTTTATTAATTAAATTACAACTAAAAAGATATTTCTAAAAAATTGCACTTATAGTTGTTCAAGTTTTTTACATGTGAAATTTTTTTTTTTAATTGTTTAATTGAAATTTTTTCAATAAAAAAATTTCTAAAAATTTTGAAATGTCGGCTAACTTTATTTTCATAAATATTTATTCATTTTAATTTTAAAGTTATGAAAAATAATAATTTAACTTACGTCAAATACTGCCGACTGTAAAATTATTTCAAATGAATCTCGTAAAAAATTTTCGTGAATCGCTTTTGATGGTGTGCTCGGGTAAGTTGAAGAAGAAAAAGAACAACCGTTTGTGCAAACATTTGAATTTTCCATACTGTTTAATTGTTTTTTACTGATTTTCAGATCATCAGCGGCAATTTTTTCAGAAAAGTAATTGCCATTGGAAATTTTTAGTTCTTTAACATCTTCTAAGCTCTGTTGCTCAGAATCTTCACAGAAAGTACCCTCATTAGCCGGCATTGTACACTCAATGCTGTTTAAACTAACTCTGAAACTTACCTGGAGAGCTGACCGTCTTTTATAAGCTCTAAAGGTTTGATCAAGGACATAATTGCATAAAACCCCTCCAACTTCTACTTCTGTGTTGCATTAAATAATTTAATGTAAAGTCAGTCAACCGACGTCACATCTTTACTCTCGCACTCGTTCCTGTCCACTCTGACCAGATTTCCCCGATACTTAAATTGTTCCCTCGAGAAAGGGAGAAAATATTTAAATAACGAATATAAATATTTATCGTCGTCAATGTAAATTCCCAAGAATTCCTGAATGGAATTACTAACACAAGTAAATGATAATTATTTTTATTGTTGACTAGTAAAAAATAGTCCGTTTATGATCCTGTTTCGAAGTTTTTCCTTTTTTTTTTTTTTTTTATAAATTATTTATTCTTACAGTATTGTAAACTATTCAATTATTGTAGTAGAAGGTCACTTTCAGTGTCTTGAGTGAAGTAATATTAAAGTCAATGTTATTTAGAACATTGAAACTATCCAATTAAAAAGATTCGAGGCTACCGGTTAAAAAAAATAACTTTCAATAGTAATTTATCTTTTGAACAATAGATTTTTTACAAATTATATTTTTATTTTATTTCTTTGATATTTATTTGCGAGCCACAGTTACTGACATGTAAATATTTATAATATATTTTTTTTTTTTTTCTGTTATATACTTGCACGTAATTTTCAAATAATTTATTACCAAAATTTTTTTGTATGGTGATACGATAAATATCATATTTTTCTCAGCAATTAAAATGATTTTAGGATTTTTTTTTATCATCTGATTTTTTCTCTTCTAATATTATAGCAAAAATAATTATCTGACTTTCCAATGGTCGAGTTATTTGGAATAGAAATAAACGTTTTGAAATAATTAAAAATTTATTAGTAATTATCTAATACTGTTTTATATATTAACGGGAACAGAATTTTTTAATTTTTATAATTCTCATGAAAAATACCCAATTTACGAAAAACCACTAAATAATAAATTCTATTTCAACACTTGATGAAAAAAATAAATAAATTATCTGTTTAAGCATACTTAAACTAGTGCGTAAATTTTCCAAATTAAATTCAAGTAACAATGCCTTATAATTTTACTGATTAATCCTTATTAAGGAACAAAAGTTTTTAAATTGTCGATAATATCTCAAGGTCAATATTGCCTATTTAACAGAATTATTACTTATTATAAAGCTAATAAAAAATATTACAAAGCGTAGTTTAACAGAAAGCGAGTTGTAAGAGTACATAAAATTCGATTCAATTTTTTCACATTTTTAATAAAATATTATTTATTATGTATGTTAACTTTACGTAGACATTTTACAAGGCTTAAAAACATTTAATAATTGGTATGAAATTTTCAAGTTTATATTCTCTATATATAAAAAAAAAATTATTTATAAATCTTAGTATTTCTGATCACAATTAACTATGAATACTTAATTGGAAAATACATTTACGTTTTGATTATTTTTCTCTTGAAATAACACCTATAAATAATTTTATAACGAAAAAAAAAAAAAAGTTTGAACATTTTAACTTTAAATAACACCAACAGTTGTTCTAATATCACTATAAAATAATTATCAATACGATTGAATTTTTTGACCGAATACAAACGAATGAAAAAAAAAAAAATATTGCAATTAAAAATTTCTATGAAAAATTAGGTATATTATTTTTTTTTTAATTACCTAAGATAAAAAATAATAATTAAGTGGAATCATTGTTTTGCGATAGCTGATATTATTAAGTTATCCAAAATACGCTCCGCAATTTGAGCATTTTTTATTTTTTAAAAGTAGACAGCAAAGAATCCCAATTGGAAAGAAGAAAATTGCACAGAATAATCCTAAGCATGTATAATCATCTTCTAAAATCCCAACCTAAGTTATGAATAAATTAATTAATTTATTAACAATAATGAATAGGTACTAAAAATAAGTATGGATATATAATTAGTATAATGAGTAATGAAATATACTTACACGGCAAGCTGGGCAAGCTCCAACAAGAATTATTTCTGGTACAATAACAGTTGTTGTAGCTCCATACGATGGAATCGATGAATTTTGATAAGTTGTTCCGTCACTTGGATAATAACCAGGTGGTGGTTGCCATGAAGAAGAACCGACTGTTTATTAATAATTTATTAATAAAAAAAAATCAACTGATTGTTTTCTCAATTTTTAGGAATTAAATCATATTCGGAATTCAATTGATTTTAATACTGAAATTAAAAGACATCCGTCATCAATTTTTATGAAAATTAATTTAGCAGATATTTGATAATCTAAAAAATTTTTGTAACAAGTAAATTATGATACAAAAAATTGACCTGTAAAAATTAAAAATGCAATTTTTTAAAAGTAATTTTTTGGAATAAATTTATTTGTTAAAAAAAAAATTAAAAAATAGTCAAGTGACTGCTATCTTCAATGTCTATTCCATTTTTTGGATTTTTACAAATAAATTATTATGAAAAAAATTGAATAAAAAAATTCCACATCTAAAAATTGTTAAAAACTACAAATTCGAATTTTAAAAATATTTTTCTTTTTTTATTAATTAATTTTTAATAAAAATAAAAAAAAAAAAAAACTGTCAGATGTCTGTTGATTTCAGTGTCATAAAAAAATTATTTTTATAGAAATTTTTAATAGCAACAAATATGAATAATAAAATATATGGATGTAAAATATTGGTTGTGATAATATTTTATTTTTGACCTGTGATTAGAAATTACGCGATAAAGTGAAATATTAATGTAAATGAAGTTAGAAAAAAAAATTATTGATTAATTGATTAATACAATAATGATTGAACTTGAATATTAAAACAAAAAAGTAGTTGACAATGGAAAATGAAGTCGTTGATAATATTATTTATTTCTTATGGCTAATAACAATAATTATCAGTAATAACTCAATGATGAATAATAAAAAAAAGCATAAAATTTAATCAGATAATTGAACGTCATAAAATTTACCTGGAGATGCTGTAGCTGCCGAATAAGGCGGTGGTTTATCATCTTTAGAATACAAAGGTTGATTTTCCATTATAAATAGTAGTAAAATAAAATTGTTGAATTATCAGAAGTCACTCTCAAGAAATATTTTGTATATTATTATATGCTCAATTAGCCATACTTGATACTTGTTATCTCAGCTGAGATATCAGTTATTTAATTACTGTAGAGTTAAATTAATTTTTTTTTATTAACGTTTCAAGCCTGTCGAATGCGCAGAATTGATGTGCGCCAATATATAAAAAAATAGCGATATTAATTCAAGTAATTTTTAATTAATGGAAAAAAAAAATTATATGATAATAAATCATAAATGTGCACACTATAATTATTATAAATATGTATATTATATATTAATTAAAAAATGATGCAATAATTTAATAATTGTATAGTAGCTGATTTGAATTTTTCCGCAATTTTAATAGCGCGAGATTCAATAATCTATTTTAAATAATTAATTAAGTGTTATTTATTTTAACATTGGATTGTTTTTTCATTAAATTGTAATCTAATTTATTAAAATAATTTTTCTTTTTTTTATTTTTATTAAAGAATGGGGGTAAAAAATAATAACCCTGAATAATAATGATACTTGATTTCTTAACTTTCCAATTATTAACAATTTATTATTGAGTGGAATGACAAGTATTAATCAATTCTATTTCAAATCAACTTTTATACTATGTATCAGTATTAAATATAAAAATCCATCATATTCAGGACATGTTGATTATAGTTTTTCTAATTTATTTATCGTACGCGTTTCATAATTCAAAAGTCTTAATTAAAAAAAAAAGTCGCTATATTCATCCGTAAAAAATCTTAAATATCAACTTCATGTAAATATAAAGGGGGGCCTTATTTTTTTTACATATGAATGTATGTAGACTTATATTTCAGTTTAATAGTATGACAATGAATTTAAAAAACATCTAACAATTTTTAAGATTTTTAAAATAATTAAATTACAACGAAAAAAATTTAGGAAAAAAATTCTACATGTAGAAATTTAACAAAAATTATAAGTGCTAATTTCTTTAAATATTTTTGTTTTTATAATAATTGATTTGTGATAAAAATTTACAATGAAAAAATCTTCCATGCTACTTTATGAAATTTTTATTTTTTTTCAATGTAAAATATGTTTTATGAACATTTATTCTTATACATATTTCAATTAATTATAACTCTGTTTTATTGTTTAATAATCATATACAAGCAAATATTTCACTATTTTTCCTTATTCCATGAATAAAATCCCTAATGTAAAGAACATTTGTTAAATAAATTCAAAAAATTTTCAGATTATAAACATAGATAGTATACAGAAAGATTTTATCGTTTGTCGCTTAAAACTTTAGAATCAATAATGTTATTTAATGTACAGTGAAAGGTCAGATCCGATTTTTTTTGTTAATAAATTGGATATTAAAATAAAATTGAAAAATTTCATATAAAAAAAAAATTATTAACATATAGTTTGTTATTTTCAAAAATCAAAAAATTGTCGAATTATTATTTAAGTAAAATATGTTAAATAAAATATATAATTTAGTTTATCATCTAAAAATAGTAAACTATAATTGAAAAAAAAAAAAAAACCATTCATATTTTAATTTTTTCATCTATTTACATACAATATATAAATGAAAATAAAGTATTTCATTTAATGTAGCACATATTTAATAATTTAAAAAATTTTATAACAAATGAATTATGGAAAAAAAAAAAAATTGACATCTAGAAATTTAAAAAAATAAAAAATGCAATTTTTTAAAAATAATTTTTTGGAACAAATCTTTTTGTTAAATAAAATTAAAAAATTGTCAAATGACAGCTAATTTGATTGTCGTAAATAAAGTTAGCCGACATCTAAAAATTTATGATTTTTTTTATTAAAGAATAATTATTACAGAAAAATAAAAAAAAAAATTTTTCATTTGTTAAAAACTTCAAAAACTATAAGTGTAATTTTTTAAAAATATTTTTAGTTATAAATTAATAAATTAAGCAAAATTAAAAAATTAAAAATGTCGACTAACTTTTATTATTATAAAATATAAATGCTGTAAGTAGCAATAGTTTGAATTTTTTCCGGGAATTGAAATAATTTTATCTAGGGTTTTAATTTTTATTAATTTAGTGAAGTTGACAGTACTAGGTTATGTATTCTTTTATATTCATCAATATACACGTATATACGTATTTCTTATCTGTGTGTTATACGTATTTATTGGTGTTTCTATTCGATACAGGTCCTACACACGGTAACGTTCCATGTATTTTCGAGCTACGTCAAAATTATAATGTGGCTGTGGCTATCTTTTAACTCACTCACAATTCACGACATCACAACTGAAATGTGTCAGTAAAAAAAAAAAAAAAAAAACATAAATTAACAATAAACCACATTCATATTCATATTACCCAGGTACCGCTCGTCTCTAAAGATTTATCTCAATATAAAATATAATTAATAGACTAAAAAAAAAAATTAATAATGAAATTTTAAACACAAAATTGAACAGCTTTACAATATCTAGGTATTTGTAAAAATTAAAACATTAACGCCCTTTGAGTATAACAATGTGATTTAATTGTACTTGTTAGAATTTTAAAAAATAGTGACAGTGATTATCAATAATAAAAAAAAATGATGAAATAGAAAAATCATAACAAGTATATAAAATGATAATTGTATCAATGTATAGTGTCAGAAGCATTAGTAACCTCATCTCAAAGTTATCACCTTCAATATCATCAGTATCAGCAACAAACCACCAGTTAAAAATAAAAAATAGTCTGTAATTTTGAATGCCTTAATTAAAAGGCTAAATGATATTAAAGTCTATTGGGCTTTCTAATGACAATGCGAAATAATTCTAAAACGAGAGAAATGTTTATAGTAAGAGCACTGGAAAAGATTCTCGCTGATAAAGATGTCAAACGATCACATTTATCACAATTACGAAAATCATGCGAATCCGCATTGGGTAAGTTTAATAAAAATTAGCATGATGTATAAGTACACATAGCTATAAATCAATTATCTAATTGTATGCAACAGCTGTTTATTTAAAATGAATATTAATTATTAAATGGAATTAATTTTTTTTCAATAGATGATTTACGGAATGAAATTAAAGAGGTACCAAATGTTCAAGGAGAAGAGGCCATTTCCAATGCATTGCCTCAACCGCGAAATGATTCAAATGTTATATCAGCTGAAAAATATTTTCTTCCATTTGAGTTGGCATGTCAAAGTAAATCGCCACGGATTGTCGTCACTGCATTAGATTGTCTACAAAAGCTTATAGCATATGGACATTTGACTGGTAATGTACCAGACTCAACGGATCCAAATAAACTATTGATTGTGAGAATTGTCGAGACAATATGCAGCTGTTTTATGGGTCCACAAACTGATGAAGGAGTACAGTTGCAAATAATAAAAGCATTATTAACTGTTATGACCAGTCAACATGTTGAAGTCCATGAAGGAACTGTTTTGCTTACTATTCGTACTGTCTATAATGTTTATTTAGCTTCAAGAAATTTAGTTAATCAAACTACTGCACGAGCAACACTTACTCAAATGATTAATGTCATTTTTGCGCGTATGGAAACACAAGCAGTAAGTTTTATCAATTAATTATTATTATTATTTCAATTTTCACTATTGCGATTATTGTTATTTTTATCATTATCAATAGGAAGAAGAAGCTATTAGAACAAGTGAAACACCTCAACAACCAGAGACACCGGTCACACCCAGAGTTGAAATTGAATGTGAAACTTCATCAATTGTTGACACAGGCAGTGTGATAACGCCAACAATATCTAATGATACAACTCCATCATTTGAAGCGCACCAAGTTGTTAGTGAAATTTTGGATGATATTGTTAATACTGTTGTACCAGAAGACAACAGTCTTAAGGCATCAATAAATGAGGAACAACCAAGTATTGATCATGTCCACACTGATGACAATACCGATGAAACAACTGCTGAAAATGATAATATGGTTACTGCTAAATTTACCCATGTGCTTCAAAAAGACGCTTTCTTAGTTTTTCGGGCTCTTTGTAAATTATCTATGAAGCCATTACCGGAAGGTACACCTGATCCCAAGTAAGTTTTAATAGTACAATAAATTACAAAAAAAAAAAAAAAAAAAAAAAAAAAGTTATTGAATATTAATTAATATTCTTTTTTTAGATCACACGAATTGAGGTCTAAAATATTGTCATTACAATTACTTTTGGGTATTTTACAAAACGCTGGGCCAGTTTTGCGATCAAATGAAATGTTTGTTATTGCAATAAAACAATATTTGTGTGTAGCACTATCAAAAAATGGCGTTTCGTCTGTACCTGAAGTATTTGAATTATCATTGGCATTATTTCTTGCTTTGTTATCGCGATTCAAAGTCCACCTGAAGATGCAAATAGAAGTTTTCTTTAAGGAAATTTTTATGAATATACTTGAGACTTCGAGTAGTTCATTTGAACACAAGTGGATGGTTATTCACGCGCTGACAAGAATTTGTGGAGACGCTCAAAGTGTTGTTGATATATACGTAAATTATGATTGCGATCTTTCGGCTGCTAATTTATTTGAAAGGTAATATAGTAGTTAATAAATAATCCTTCATTTAATTTTTATGATTGTTTACATATATACTTACATGTTTTCAGACTCGTAAATGATTTATCAAAAATAGCACAAGGCCGTCAAGCCTTAGAGCTTGGAGCTTCTCCTAATCAAGAAAAATCAATGCGTATACGCGGTCTAGAATGTCTAGTGTCTATATTAAAATGTATGGTAGAATGGAGTAGAGATCTTTATGTGAATCCTGGGGTGCCTGTTGATCAACAATTGCCGACAGAACCACCTGATCCACCATTAGGACAACCATCCCTACCACGTTATGGCAGTGCTGGAAGTTTATCGTCAGCAAATTCTAGTCTCATTGGTATCAAAGAGATGCCTGATTCACCTGAACAATTTGAAGTTCAAAAGCAACAAAAAGAAGTGTGGGAAGCCGGAATTGAAATATTTAATAGAAAACCTGCTAAAGGTATCCAGTATCTTCAGGAACAACATTTATTGGGTACTGCACCTGATGATGTCGCAAGATTTCTTCATAATGATGAAAGATTAGATAAAACAGCCATTGGTGATTTTCTGGGTGATCATAACCATAATCAAACTATGTATAACTATATTGATCAAATGGATTTTGCTAATAGAGATTTAGTCACTGCACTGAGATATTTTTTGGAGGGTTTCCGATTGCCTGGTGAAGCTCAAAAAATTGATCGGCTGATGGAAAAATTTGCTAGTCGATACTGCGAGTGTAATCCCAAGTAATTTCAAATTTCAAATTTCAAATTTTTATTTTTATTATTATTATATTTTTAATCAGAGTTATTTAATCTATTTTATTTTTCTCTACTAGCAACGGTCTGTTTACAAGTGCTGATACAGCTTACGTCTTAGGTTTTTCAATAATTATGCTGACAACTGATTTACATTCACCACAGGTGAAAAATAAAATGACTAAAGAGCAATATATCAAATTAAATCGACGGATAAGTGATAATGAAGATTTACCTGAAGAATATTTGTCAAAAATTTATGACGAAATTGCTGGTAATGAAATAAAAATGAAGTCACATCCTAACAGGCCAGGAAAACAAGGTAAAAAAAAAAAAATAATATTTACACTGAGAAAAAAAAATAAATTTTGGTTTTTTGACAAAAGAATATCAGTATCTATCATGATAATAAAATATTGGCATTAATTTTGATAGATTAGCAAGCCAATAGGTTCACTTGAATTAAACAAAAAATAATTCGATCAATTCTTGTGAAAAGAAAATTTTCTCAAGAGTAGTACTTTTTTTTTCTCAGTGTACTTAACTTCCATTATAATTATCGCAATTTGATTGAATTAAACATTTATTTAAAACATAAAAATTTATAGTGATATCAAGTGAAAAGAAACGTCGGTTGCTGTGGAACATGGAGATGGAGTTGATATCAACGGCGGCTAAAAATTTAATGGACTCTGTGAGTCATGTCCAGGCTCCATTTACAACAGCAAAACACTTAGAGCATGTTCGTCCAATGTTTAAAATGGCTTGGACTCCTTTCCTCGCTGCTTTTTCTGTTGGTCTTCAGGATTGCGATGATCCCGAAATAGCATCGTTGTGTTTAGATGGTATACGGTGTGCTATTCGTATAGCTTGCATTTTTCATATGACGGTAAATAATATATTTAGTTTATTGAATGCAAGTAAATAAATTATTAATATTTTATAATTAATGTTATTTTTATTAATAGTTGGAACGTGATGCTTATGTTCAAGCACTGGCAAGGTTTACTCTTCTAACAGCAAACTCTCCGATAACTGAAATGAAAGCCAAGAATATTGATACGATAAAAACGTTAATAACAATTGCTCATACAGACGGCAATTATTTAGGCAGCTCGTGGCTGGACGTTGTAAAGTGTATTTCACAGTTGGAACTTGCTCAATTAATAGGCACAGGAATACGACCACAGCTATTGGGTCCACCATCAAAGCCATATTTTCCATTGCCGCTTAATAATTTTACAAATTTAACTCATAACAATTCACATCAATCAAATAGTCTTAATTTAAGCTCACTAGATCCTAGTGTAAAAGAATCAATTGGTGAAACAAGTTCACAGAGTGTCGTTGTTGCTGTTGATAGAATTTTCACTGGCTCAATACGATTGGATGGTGATGCTATTGTAGAATTTGTTAAAGCTCTGTGTCAAGTATCACTTGAAGAATTATCTCATCCATCACAGCCACGCATGTTTTCACTTACTAAAATTGTTGAGATTTCTTATTACAATATGGGTCGTATCAGACTACAGTGGTCAAGAATATGGCAAGTTGTTGGTGATCATTTTGATCGGGTTGGATGTAGCCCAAGACAAAATATTGCTTTTTTTGCGGTTGATTCATTACGACAATTAGCAACAAAATTTATTGAGAAAGGAGAATTTGCAAATTTTCGATTTCAAAAAGAATTTCTGCGCCCGTTTGAACATATAATGAAAAAAAATCGATCACCAGTTATTCGTGACATGGTTGTAAGATGTGTCGCTCAAATAGTTAACTCACAAGCACCAAATATACGCTCGGGTTGGAAAAATATATTTAGTGTATTTCATCATGCAGCTAGTGATCGTGATGAATCAGTTGTTGACCTGGCATTCACAATGACGGGAAAAATAATAAATGATTTATATGCAAAGGATTTTAGTATTATGGTAGATTCATTTCAAGATGCCGTAAAGTGCCTAAGTGAATTTGCTTGCAATGCATCTTTTCCAGACACAAGCATGGAAGCAATAAGACTGATACGCACGAGTGCCTCCTATATTGATGTTAATCCTCAAATGTTTGCTGAAGGAATGATGGATGACAATGGGATGGTGTCGGAGGAAGATCGATCATGGGTACGTTTTTTTTTTTTTTTTTTTTTAATTATTATTTTACTTAATTATAATAATCCAAACATCACTTAAAAGAGAGTATCATTTTCAACAGGTGAGAGGCTGGTTTCCATTATTATTTGAATTGTCTTGTGTTGTAAGTAGGTGTAAACTTGATGTACGAACACGTGCATTAACTGTACTATTTGACGTTGTTAAAACACACGGTGCTTCATTTAAACCTCACTGGTGGAAAGATTTATTTCAAGTACTATTTCGTATTTTTGATAATATGAAACTTCCAGAACAACATACAGAGGTAACTATTAAAATTATCATTAGTACTCTAAAAAAAAAAAAAAAAAAAATACCTTTACTCAATTAACAATTTCTTGGTTCAAGAAATTCGATGACGATCAAATATTCTATTATTATTAATTATTAATTTCTAAAGAGAAGAGCATCAATATTTATTTTTGAATAATAGATAAACAAGATAATAGCTTTAATTAAATTGAGTAAAAATTATTTCAATCAATTTAACAAGTTCTTGAGCTAAAAATAAGATAAAAGACCCAGTTATTGACACTTGCAATTTAATTTAATTAATTAAAACAAATCGACTTTAATAAATTAATAAACATAATTTTTGAATTATAAATTTTAAGATAATTGGTTTTTTGAGAACATTTTATTTTTTAAAAATTGCAAGTGTCAATCAACTAGGCCAGTGTCAATAACTGGGTCTTTTACCTTATATATTCTTGAAAATTTTCAAGAACATGAATTCTTGTATCAAGAAAATTTTCTTAATAAAAATATTTTTTTTTTTTTTCTCAGTGTATAATAATATTTCTTTTTAGTAGATTTAATAGAAATTTAACTATTGTATTGGTCCTCACGTCAGAATTTTCAAAAAATTTTTATGCTTACTCAGCTCGTCGATCTAAGTCTAAAAATTCAACTTTTTTTGGTTCTCCTTGCAATAACTTTAGAATGCGATAAATTTTCATATTTCTGTAAATTACATCTTAAAGCTTATTTAATAACCTTCAATTTTCATGCTAATTTGTTGCCCTAAATCAATTAGATTAGGAATAGGAGCAGATTAAAAATTTCAAAAATCGCGAAAAAATTCAACTACTTTTGATCCTCTGTGCAATAACTTTTGAATGCGATAACTTTTCGTATTTTTGTAAATTGCATCTGAAAGCTTATCAAATAAGTTTTGATTCACATATGCTTTATCATTTTTCTAAATCAATTGTATAAAAAATGATAGCAAATTAAAAATTAATTCTAAAAGTTGAATGAAATTTTATTTTTTTTGTCTTCTTAATTTTATTCAAATTAAATTAATTTTTCTCAATATTTAATAATTTTTCAGAAGGCCGAATGGATGACCACAACATGCAATCATGCTCTTTACGCAATCGTCGATGTATTTTCTCAATTTTACGATATTTTGGGTCCTCTTCTTCTTGGTCAACTGTATTCTCAATTACTTTGGTGTGTACAGCAAGATAACGAACAATTGGCTCGTTCTGGTACAAATTGCCTTGAAAATCTTGTGATAAGCAACGGTATAAAATTCGATGAAGACACCTGGACTAAAACAACTCGTTGTATTCTCGATACTTTTGAAAGTACTTTACCATCTGTACTACTCACTTGGAAACCGCCATCAACAAATAAAGAATCCGATATGGATGTTATAACTGGAGATAATGATAATCACATGGGAATACTCAAACGTAGTCAAAGTACTCAAAGTCTCTGCAATAATAATAATAATAATAATGATTTACCCCGGTCACGATTATTTTCATCTCTGCTGATAAAATGTGTCGTACAATTGGAATTAATTCAAACCATTGATAATATTATATTTTATCCAGCGACGTCACGTAAAGAGGATCAAGAAAATTTGGCTCTAGCACAAGCAGATATGTTGAATGGTCGTTCAAGTGATTCGGGTCTCGATGGATCAGGCAGTGAACAAAAAGAAGAACAAGGAATGTACTGTTCATTAAATACAATTCATCTTTTACAATTAGTTGATTGTCTTTTGAGATCGCACAGATTTGCCAAGAGCTTTAATGTTAACAATGAACAACGTAATATTCTTTGGAAAGCTGGTTTTCGTGGCACAGTTAAACCTAATCTACTAAAACAAGAGACACAGTCGCTTGCATGTGCTCTACGAATCCTATTTAAAATGTATAATGACGAGACACATCGTACTAATTGGTCAACAGTTGAGTCTCATTTAGTTGAAATATCACGAGAAGCGTTGGAATATTTTCTAGTTTTACCTAATGAAGCTCATCGTGACGCTTGGACACCTATTTTATTACTGCTACTCAATAGAATTCTTAAAATGTGCGACAATCGTTTTGCCGTACACGCGGCTAATTGTTATCCTCTTTTGTGTGAAGTAATGTGTTTTGATCTTAAACCCGAACCACGGTCTGTTTTAAGGAGATTTTTCTTACGAATTGGACCGGTATTCAGAATTACAAAATTGTAACGATAATTTTAATACTTTTATTTTGTATAATTAAATTAAATAATCGATGATTGTTTGAAACAAAAAGACAACCGATAAATTATTATCATAATAATAATAATAATGTAACTGTGTAACATTATGTTATTATTACAATAACTTATTTTTTTTTTCTAATTTATATTATGCGAAGATATTCTCACATATGTATATTTAATGTTATATACGTCTTATAAATATATTATATTATGTATAATTAAATCTAAATATATTAAGTAGTTAAATATTAACAATAATGACAAAAAAAGTATGAAATCATTGAATTCACGATTGAAATAAGGGGCGTGCATGATATAATCTTTTTTGTGTTTTCAGTATCAATGGAAGTAAATTTTTTTTTTGTTATACGTAGAATATAATAATAATAATAATTATTATTATTATGATTTTAAATAATATTATTTTATGCAGCAAGTGTACATTGAAATATAAATATTGAATATTTGACGACAGAGTCGGTCTGATTTTAATAAAAAAAAAAAAAAAGTTAAAAAATTTTGTAATTTTTTTTATTGCATCAAATACAGAATTTAATCAAAAAGTAAAACTAGGTAACGAACCACACCATTCTTGTATAAAGGCAACAACATCATTGAGTGGTGATTCAGAAGGAGCTTGTCGAGAAGCATTTATAAGTTTATTCCAATCGTCTCGATCAACGACACGATTGCTTCCCTCAAATCTAACAACCGATGAACGTATTGGATAACCAGTTAAAGCACAAGGTTGTAAAGCAGCTGAACCATTTGTTGGACAGGTGAGAGATCCAATGTAGACGCCTCGCTGATCAACAGGCAAACCTTGTTCGACCTTTTGATCCATTGACACAGCCAGTACCCATTCGCGTACATCTTCTCGCTCTTCTTGAGTTAAACTGAGTGTTCCAGGACGTGGAACTTCTAGTGGAAAGTCTGTGATTCGTAGATCATCGACGTCTAGAGTACTGCCATCGCCCTCTTCGATGCATTCTTCAAGATCCAAAAAATGATTAAGAAAGACAAAAGCCTCGCTGTGTGATCCAGATTTGCGCAGTTGAGTTCCTGCCTCATAGTAACAGCGGTCAACTAATAACACGTCGCTGTATCTCAAAAGAGAAACTGATGTCTTAGTAACAAGATTAGCAAGATTAGGAAATAGTTGACAGGCGCATTTGACAGCTGAATAATGAGTGGCTTGTAGCAGTCTTCCAAATTTATCTTCACTAGCTGAAGATCCTTCAATTTGTTTTGTAAGACCTAGAAGAAAAGTTCGTAATTGTGATAATCGTGTGTATCGTGATTCAGGTGATCCTTGATACAAATTTAAAATCATTTCAGCCAGACGATAGTAAAGATTGTGATATTGAGCAATAGGAGGTGCTCCATACTGTGAATATAATTGTAAAGCTGGTTCTGGTGTTCCAGACTTCAGTAATTGGGCAGCACGTTGTGCCAGATATTTATGCAAAACTTCAGAGTTTAGTGAGCTAGCTATTTCGAAAACTTGTATCCACTGTCCTTTACGAGCTAAATTTTCTAAAGACTTATCACCATCACGTTCGCTTCGTCCTTGGTCGTTGTCAGAAAGAACACTATCTCGAGCACTTTCACGATATTTATCGTCCAAGTAAGACTCTAGATCAGGTGCAAGCTCATGAACAATACGTCGAGCTCTCATCCAATCTCCAACTGATACTAGTGCATTGATAGCTTCTTTTATTTTGTCTGCTTGAAGGAAAACCTGAGCTGCGAGAGCATGTTCTCCTGTTACAACTAACTTAGAACCTAATTCACCGCCAACTTGAAGAACCATTTCGGGATCTGCTTGATTCAATAAAATTTCCGCTGCCTGAATCAGTGCTGGTCGTGATGAATCGAGAATTAAAATATCTAACGCAGTACGAACTTCGCCAGTTTCTAACCAACGTCTTGCTTCATCTAGACTATTTGTTCCATCGATTCCGGAACTTCTGTGCGTTAATTCTCGGCGTAGAGCTGCCTCGTGGCTTGGAAGATACTCTCGGCAAACTCGCATCGCTTCAGACCACATTCCTGCTAACTGTAAATAAATATAAAAAATTTAATTTTATGTTGAAAAAATAATTATATAAAAAATTCTGTTTCAAATTACATGATTTTTAAATTGGATAATTTTTTTAATATATTTTCGCATGTACTTAAAATTTAAAAAAATCAGGTGAGCTTGTATTTGCCATATTAATCAAGCATAAAATATATAAATATATCGCGTTACTAATGCCAAAAAAAAGTTTTTTTTTTTTTTCAATCAACTTGGGACTATAAAAAAGTAAAAATCTAGTTAAAAACACACACAAAAAAATTTCGACCTACGTCCTTTTGGTTTAAAAAAAAATTTTTTTTTTTCTAAGCCAAAATAGCTTAAGGAGCTTAAAACATCAAAATTTCATGAAAAATTTATTTTTAGAAGTTAGACTGAAAATATTAACACATCCCACTTTTTTGAAGTTTTCAATTTGTTGTATTTTGAAGAAATTAATTTAAAAATATTAAAATAAAATTTTTAATTTTTCGTTAAAAAAATTGAAAACTGTGATAGTGCTTTCAGTTAAATTAAAAAAAAATCAATTTTTATTAGATCTCGACGTTTTGAGGTACTTAAAAGTTATTTTGACCATTTGCTCATATACGATCTTTTGGCCTTAAACTTTTTTTTTTCTTAAAGCCAAAAAGGCGTACGTCGAAAAAAAAATTTTTTTTTTACGTTTATATAATTTAATGCTTATTTTAGTACTTAATTATTTACTACAATGTATCATGAATAATTACTTACTTTGTAATGATCAATAATGATCTCTGGCTTATGAGCTCGAAGCAAAAGTGACTCAGCAAATGCATAATCTTTATTATCAACAGCCTCAGCAGCTCTGGCAACAAGTACCTGTGCCATGGCTTCTTGACTGACTGACTGCGCGACTTCTTCAGCAGCGTCCCAGTCTCTTGTATGAATATACATTTGTACAGCTTCAGTAGCTTTACCGGCTCGAATGAATTCTTTTTCTGCTTCAGCAAATTTACCTTCATCCTCCAGCGTCATTGCATATTTATAGTGGACCTCTTGTTGCTGCTCTGGAGTTCCATATCTTACAGCATCGAGTGCCCAATCGAATAAATTAGCTTCACAAGCCATCAGGAGACAAGGATCAAAATAATTAAGCCGTATTAATAATCGAGCGCCCAATTCTGGTGCAAGAGTCCGTGCCCACATTAATGCAACTTGTTGAGCAGCCGTATCACCAGATTCCTGTTTAGCAACTCTCAAGGCATCTTCCCATAAATTATTGGCCTTGTAAGCGGCCACAGCACCTCTCCAATCTTCAGCCCCAATGAAATGCTCTTCAGCTTCACGTGCTTTACCAGCTGCCGTCAGTTCTCGTGCCAAGTACGCATGAGTAGTTTTTAATAAATCTGGACGATACTCAGCGACCAACCTAATCATATCATGCCGATGACCAGCACGACGATACATTGCGATAGCTGCATCATACTCACCTATAGCAACAAATAAAGCTTCAGCATAACGGAAATTCCCAGCCTCTTGTAATTTTTCAGCGTGTTCTATTAAAACTTTAACTGCTTCAGTGGACTCCATATGTTCCATTGCAACTTCGTAAGCTCGCGACCAGTTGTTTGTTTTAATATGAATTTCAATTGCACGTTTCGGATGTTTGGCTCGTAAAAATAAATTTTCAGCTAAATTAGTATCACCATTTGAGGCACAGTATTCTCCAAGCTTATAACATTTTTCTTGAATAGCTGGATCCTCGCTGTCAATCACCTGAACTATTTGAAGAGCTTTACGCCACTGACGAGCATTTATCGCAGAATTCAAAGCCATCGCTATTTCACCAGCTTCTATAAAATGATTTATAGCAGCATCATGATGTCCAGCGGTTGCTAAATTATAACCCCAATCTTTTTCAATACTCACAACTGAATTTGGCTCAACAGATCTTGCTAAATCTAGAGCTCGGGCAAAAATTCCAGCGTCTTGATAACATTTTATCGCACCAGAAGTATCATTGGTTTTTTCTAAAATTTCTCCAGCTAATTCCATAAGATCTGATGATTTAAGCGCTTTTACAACTTCACCAGTAATTTTAGAGTCTTCTAACAGAGATTCGTCTGACAAAAGAAGACGCCCGGCTCGACCAGCACGACCTGCATCTAAGAAAAGTTTAACAGCACGACGAGGATCCTCTGACTCGATAATCGCCGCTGCTCGAGCTGCCTGTCCACTGTTCAGTAACCAAGCTAAATGTTTATCCTTTAGATTTTTTAATCCAATCCAGTCACGATTTTCCGCTAAATCCAAGGCTTCCTCCCAGTGCCAATATTTTTGATACATCTCCAATGCTTTATCCAGTTCATTTTGTTCAAGATAAATAGCCTCTGCTGTTTTTAACTCACCATTTAAAATAGCTAATTTTGCCCAACATTCAGGGCTAGTCAAAGGATCATTACCTGTTTCTTGGGCATACTCTTCACCAATTCTGACAATATCTTTGAGAAAACTTGAATAAGCAACGTCTCCAAGTGCCGAGTAGCATCTAGCGGCGATTAATAATTTTTTTTCAGTCATAGCATTGCGTGCTACATTTTCCCACATAGCTTCTGCTTCTGGACGATCACCCAAATCTTCAAGAAATAAAATAACTCTCCCAAAATCATTGTCATGCAAAGCTGTACCAAATTCAATCAATCCCTCATCCAACGGATAATTTAAACGAGAACCAGCCTCTTCAACAATAACTGATGTTTTACCGTCATCTCGTTCAATGTCAACAGCATCACCACGTATAGAAATAAGCGTTGAAGCTTCAGGTGCATCGACATTGTACCAAACTGCAAGTTTATCTCCGGTCTGAGCAACAGCTACATCACTCCCGGGCACCCATGAAGCAAAACCTGTACCAGTTAACAGCAATATTCTGCTGGCTTTGTCGTCGCATAACCACAGTCGAGCTTTTTTATCACGCGATAATAATCTGTGACCAGTTTCGCTTAATTCCAACCAATCTACCCGTGCATCATGCCCAATAATACTTATCGTTGATCCGCTTATCAAATCAACAATTCTTACCGTCCTTGAGTCTAGTAAATAAGCTAGACGTTTATTGTCAGGCATACCTGGAACCTGACGTTCATTTATGCGCACACTTACAACATGTGGATTAACAGCTTCTGTTCTTACCGAGCCAAGTATTTCATTCTTTCCATACTCAACGATGGTCAATTCTCCGGATGAAAATATCAAACAAACTCCAGGATACTCGAAGAAAAATTTTTCACTGTTTGATTTATCTTCCCATTGTATTTCACTCAGTAAATTCAATTGGATATCACTTATAAGTAAAGTTGAGCTTGTACGAGCTATAATATGATTGTCTTTGCGACCTAGTACTCTAACATCTTCAATTTCGCTCCCAGTGTAAGACTTTATGCTAACAGGACGATTTGAACCACTGAGAGACCTGACGACAACTTGACTAGGACCTACGTATGCAACTTCGTGACTTCCTCGTACCATTGCTCGTTTCAGAACAGTCTCAAATTGTTCAACAGCACCACAAAGACCTCCAATAACTAGTCGTGAGCCATCTCTTCTCCATGCCAAAGCTGTAACTGTGTAAAAATTTGGCAATACGCGGCTGATTGTTTCTTCCCAAACAGCACGACGTGGACTCCAATCAATTATTCTAATTCTATTCCACGAACCAATGGCAATACTTTGTCCACTTGGACTGGAACATGCTACTGTGATCTCTTTATCAGTATTATCACGTGAATAATCAAGAGTTTTTATTACTTTGCCATGAGAATCGTAGAACGTCAATTTTTTGTCACTGCCTCCAGCACAAATGTGATCATGAGGCCAAGCCAAAGCGTATGCAGGTACTCCATGAGTTAATATTCTACCTGAAGGTTCAGTGTGACCATCGTTCTTTAAATGGTATTTTATAATACTACCATCAGCATGACTGGATATAAATGCAGTTTTTCTTTCACTGAAATAAATATTTATTATTATCAATAGTATCATTGCAAGTAAATTAAAATATTTCAATTAAGTTTAAATTTATTGATTTTACTTGGCTGCTAATGCTAGTGTCATAGCATCAGCTGTATAAAGTGTTTGTGCTTTGTGGGCTTTTAAAATTGCAACACGAACTTTTCCATCGTTTAAACCAACAATTATTGGACCCTCTGATGGCCAAATCATACATGTTACTGATGAGCTTTGTCCAAATTTATTGCAAATAACTTTTTTTTCGCCCCTAAAAAATTTATCCTGATGAATTTTAATCTATCTAAATAATTAATCTGCTCTTCTATTCAAAGTTGACAACTTACCAATCTTCACCGATTTTATAAACATAAACAATATTATCTGTTTGTCCAACAGCTATTTTTGTTGAATCCGGAGAAAATGAAATTGCTTTTATAACATAACTTTTTTTTCCATACTGCAATACAACATTAAATCATTATTAATAAGTAATATTAATTATTATATTGATAATAAATATTTAACAAACCTTAGCATCAACTGGCTTCGTAGAAAAACGATCTTTCTTAACTCCTGCTTCATCAAAAAGATAAATTGATCTATCTGCTAAAGCAACTGCTAATTTTAAATTATTTGGTGACCAAGCGATACTGACAACACGATTTTCACCATCATTAGCAGCTAACACACAACCTATATACTTTAAAATCATAATTACAACAATTATTTTAATCAACAAATAACAAAATTCAACTATTATGACAAGTAATGTATTTTTTATTTCAGATATATTTTTGTTTACAAATGTGTTGTCATGGCAACAACACTAAATTCTTAATTCAAATTTTAATTACATCACGTGACAGTTATTACACTTTTGATATATTATAAAAATAATTTTAATATATTATTTAAATATTTTTGTATTATTAAAAGCTATTTTTAAATTATAAGGGAAATTATATATTAAACAATTAAAAAATAAAATTAATTTGTCAACACTGAAGTTGAATGACAGAAATTTAATAAAAAAATTTTACATGTGAAAATAAAAAAAAAAAAAAATTATTAGTGAAAATTTTTTGAAACATTTTTTTTGTAATTGATTTGTTATAAAAATTAAAAAAATTTTGACAGGTGTCAGCTAACTTTATATAGTATCATTATATTGTAGAGAGTAGTCTCCGTTTTTTACATATCGAAAATAAACTGTCACGTGATTGTAGAAAAAGAGAGAGACAAAAATTAAAAATGTCAGCTGTAAGAAGAGTATTTACACAAAATCTTATAAAAAGTTTCAATTCTTTTAAAACACCAGGTAAAAATAAAAATAATAAGTAGATTATTTACAATATTAACTAATTGCTTCATATGATTTTAATTATTTTATTAAAAATTTCTGTAATTGTAAGTTAGTTGAATTATAACCTCCAATTTTTCATGCTGATTATTTATAGTAATTATAATAATTTTACAGGAAAGTCTCTAAGATGCTTTGCTACAGAAGCAACAGAAAATAAAATTATTCAAGATAAATTAGAATCTAATAATAATAATAATAAATATGAACCTCACTCATCAACGCCTACTGGTCGTGGACCAGTTGTACCGGAGCAGTACCGATTTATTTATCCAGAATTTTTACCGGATCCAACACCACAACATCGCAATAATATGAGAGAAAAATTAGAACGTATGGATATGTTGTCAAGAAGAAAAGTGATAGATATTCCAGAGTTTTATGTCGGTTCAATACTTGCTGTTACTTATACAGAGCCACATGCTCCAGGAAAATCTAACAGATTTGTTGGAATTTGTATTAAACGGACAGGTTGCGGTTTACGAGCTGATTTTTTGCTAAGAAACGTAATCGACCATCAAGGAGTGGAAGTACGGTTTGATATGTATGACCCGGCTATCCAAAAAATCGAGTGCTTGAGACTTGAAAAAAGATTAGATGACGAATTGTTGTATCTGAGAGATGCACCTAATGAGTTTAGTACAGTTCCAGTTGACATGGAACCAGAGTATCTACCAGAAGGAGCTCCAGTCCCTGTCAACAAAACTATAGTACCTTTAAAACCATTACCTTGGGGCACTAAGTGGGAACAAAGTAATATGAAAGGATTATCAGCTAACCTTGATTTATTGACTAAGAATCGTCTGAGAAAACGAGATGCCAGTGCTAAACCCTGGGAAAAATATGATCTTATGAAAATATACAGGTAACATTTTACAATTATTCGATTATATGTTTTTACAAAAATGTCGAAAAATAATTTTTTTTTTAAATCAGTTAAATATTTTTAATTAAATTAGTTATCGACAATTATTTTTACAGACCAATATTTTTGATAGGTATTTTCTCAAGATTAAAAAAAAATACAAAATTAAATGATTAAATATTTTTAAAAGAAATGATTAATTTTAAATTAATTTTAATCTATCTTGTGTTATGAATTTCAAGTAAATGTTAGTTTACAATACATATTCACTTATTTTTGAGACTTTACTCTTCAAATTAGATCCAAGATACAGAAAATAGTCGAAATTGATAATATTTATTACTTGAACAGATACTAATAATTTACCAGCACAGTAGAATTCAAATATGTAAGCTATCGCTTGGATATAATTTGAAGATTCAAAAATAATGGAAATGAATTGATTAACAGTCGTAAATTCACATTTACTGTGACATAACACAAATTAAAATAATTGCTAATTATCATTGTAAAGTAAAAGACTCAGTTATTGACACTTGCAATTTTATTTTGATTAAATAAAATAAATCGACTCTAATAAATTAATAAATATAATTTTTTACTCATAAATTTTAAGATAATTGGTTTTTTGAGACCATTTTATTTTTTAAATGAGAATAAAATTGTAAGTGTCAATCAAGTAGACCAATGTCTATAATTGAGTCTTTTATCTTATATCATTATAAACTCAGTAATTTCTCCCATTATTATTATTTGGATCATTATTAATTCATGATTTCTCTATTGTACGCATACCTACCTCAATTCACTATATGAGGCCGATTAGCGTTAATTTAATAATAAATAAATAATACTTGATAAACCGATAAAACTGAAATTAATACAATATATATTGATGGTCTTAAAAAATAATACTTTATTAATATAAATTTATTTTAGAAAATCTTTCATTCCAACTGTCAAATGAAATTGTTTTCAACTGTTAATTTTTTTATTTTCAGAGAAACTATTCCTGAAGAAGAACAACAAGCTATTTATTCAGAAGTTTTTATGAAACTTCACAGCTTAGAGTTATCAAGAAAGAAGCTCAAACGTAAGCGTGATTTTGTTCGTCCAACTAAAAAAGCTTAATTTTGTTTTTCTGTAATTTTTTTTAATGTTACCAATAAAAAGTGAACAATTGATAGAAAAAATGTTTTTTTTTTTTTTTTTTAAACTTACATGCAATGTCATACCTTATTTATTTACTTTTTTTTTTTAATTTTTTTTTTTTAGAACCATTATCTTAAACAATAGTTATTACAATACAAAAATTTTTTTTAGAATGCATATTTTGTTACCGTATAAGAACTCTTAATTACGTCATCCTATATACAAAGGAGTATTTGAATTTCAATTAGTGTAAATATTGTTTCGTGTTATAAAAAAGAATTTGATTTTAAAAAAACTTGTAGCAAAGTTTTCTTTTCAATATCGTTGTACTGATTATTTATACATTACAGGAAAAAAAAAATATAATACTTGACTTAAAAATTATTATTATTACAGAAGAGCTCATAGAAAATCATACTATTTATTTGTAAAACCAATTTTGGAAGCTATAAATCATTATTATTTTTATTTAATAATGGAGTTGTAATTTACCTTATTCATTTTCATAATTATATACAGTTTTTTTAACATATTTTAGTTTTGATCTAGGTCAGACAAAATAACTAATCATGAGAACTATACTAGAAAAAAGAATTGTCTTTTTTTATTGAACGAAGATTTTTTCCTTTTTTTTTTCCTTTTTTTTTTTTTTCTTTTTTTCAATCGACTCCTTAATTTACTTTCACTTTGAGTGAAAAATTTTTTATCTTTTGATATTGTAACAAAGAAATATTATTTATCATAAAATAATAGTAATAATAAAAAAAATAGTTGGTAATGATAGTAAAATAAAAATTTTTATGTGGACAGTAGAGCGATGTTAATTTCTTTAACCATTTTAACACGATTCAACATTTTTTCAAGATATTCTTTTGCAAGTGGTGACGTTGAATACCAAACAGGACTGTCTGGAACACAACTTCGTTCTGGCAGGAGATAAAATACATCATTCCGAGTTTTAACACTTTCAGGACACTTGGAAATATAAAACTCATAAAGTTTTACTGGACAGCGCAATGGATTTTCTTCGTTTTCTTGTTGTTCATACACTTTTTTCTTTTTCGAATTGGCTTCTGTAAGGTAATTTGTCAATTTATATTTTTTCTAGTTAATCATAAATGCAAAAATTGATAAAAATTATACAAATACAAACCTAAGGCTGACTGTGGTGGATAAAATCGTAAAAGTACATTCCGTGCGCCAGGAGTTTTATTAGCAGTTCCAGCATTTAGTGCAGCTGGATTTCGTTTCCAGTGTTTCATAATATGAGAAAATGATAGTTGCATATGCTCATCTACCGACTGTAATTTAAATGAAATTTTATTACTAAGTACAATGTATAGTAATTTGAATCGGTTTATTTAACAAAATAATTCTTACCGTTAAATTGAAATGCTTCGTATTAAAAAACATTAAAGTATTTAATAGTACATGGGGAGAATGTGCTCCAAGTTGTTTGCATTCCCACAAATGCTCTTCTTCAACACGTGTCACGATATATTCTACAATAAAATAATGACAAAAACAGTTATTAGTAAAAAGTAAATATATATATATATATATATATACTTAACGGGCGTTCTTATATAAAACAGAAAATTTCTTAGCTACGTCATTTAAACAATCTGTAAATTGTTCATAAAATGTGTCAGTAAAAATATTATCTATCCTATTATTTTCAAAAAGATATTGCTGTATTCCTAAACATAGATAATAAATCGTGTCGGGTGCATATTCAGATCCATTAGGTTTTCTAACTTCTTTAACAAAATGACAAAGTGAATAATTAAGTTCATCAGCAGTCAATTGCAATAAATCTGTTTTAAATAATTTAAATTTTTTCATGGGTGTTACTTGTTTTTCTAATTCATTATTTTTAGCAACAACCCACTTTCTCCATGCATTAACACCAAACGTATACTTGAGTGCCATATTAGCGTCTGGTTTTTTAACAGGTTCAGTAATAGTAGCTAGCGTTGTTTCCGAAGCGGTTGTTGTTATTGTTGTTCCTGTTTCTGTAGTTGTTGTTGCTGTTTCTGTTGTGGTGGTTGTTGTTGTACTTGTTATACTTGTAGTAGATTCTTCTGGTGAAGCAGCAGCAGCAGCAGCAGCAGTAGCAGCATCATTTGAATTATTACTAGCAGTGCTACTCGATCTACGCCCCTTTTTAACAGAACCAGCACGTGTTTTGTTATGAGAAATAACACGTTTTCGTCCCTTAGCAATGGCCGTTGATTCAGCATTATCTGTAGAATCACCACCAACATTACCTTCCGTTGATTTTGTAGAATTTTGCGACGCTGTAATGGTATTAGGTGTCAGAGCAGCTTCTAAATCCACAGCAGCATCTTCAAGTTCGCCGGTAGTCATTTTTAATGCTTCTTGCAGTATTTCATCACCCAAAGTATTACTTGATTCAGTATTTTCAAGATTACTTTCATCTGCTGAATCTGATGAATCACTTTCTGTAGTTTTTTTTTCAGTAGCAACCATTTCTGCCATCAACAGCAATTCTGCTTCAAATGGATCAGTTGGCGTTTTGTCTTGTATTCTCTTAAATTCTTTAATAATACCCTTAGTAGTATTACGAGTGGTAGGAATAAAAATAGGTACGGGTATTGGCAATGGAAACGGTACTGGTACTGGAAACGGAAAACTCCACATGTGTACAGGAAATGGAACATAAATAGGGACTGGAATAGGTACCATAATCTTGGGAATTTCATCAGTTTGAGTAGATTTATTACAAGGATGAGGTTTAACTGAGACACCTTTTGTATGCATCAATGGTTTACACTGAGTCATTTTGTTATGAACTTTAACTGGACTTGGTGGTCGTGTTATTACTTGTTGTTTATAAATAATTTGAGCTGTATTGGCATTCAAATTAGTAAGATTATTAGCCCCAACAGTTATTGTCGTAGCATTTTTTTGCGGTATCGTAACAGTTTGCCCATTAGACGCTAAACTCTTAACTGATGATATCACAGGCATTGATTTTTGACCAGCAATCGTTATGCTTGGTAGAGTTACCAATTCAGTTGGTTTTTTAGCAGCTGTTTGCATTTGCATTTGATACTTTGCTGGATATGTTCGTTTAGGTGTACCTGTTGGTACTGGTATTGTTGCTGTTGCTGGTGTTTTAGGATCATCACCACCTGGGATTGTTATTGGTGATTTAGTGTATTGTCCTTGAAATTTCATAACACAATCATAACAACAAAAGTTACGTATTGTCGCGTCGGACATCGTCAAATGATATTGAGCTTGAGAAAATTCTTTACAAAAATCACAATTAATACGTCGTGATGATACTGCATTCATAGATACTTGATAAAGTGTCAAACAATTTAAACTACACATTGTGATAACAGATCCATTTTTCAATTCTTTTTTTATCATATCAAAATTATATTTTTTAACTTTACACCAATTACATGGTACTATTTTACGGTGTGTTATAATAAAAATATTAAGACAAGTTTTACTACAAAATGTATGAGCTTCATTTTGATAAAACACAACGGTATTTTTCTTTTTACCTTGATCAAAATATTTTTTACATGTTGAACATTGATCTGGATCAACTTTATTGACAAACTTAAATGCCGCAAAACATGGCTCACTGCATATTGCTACAGGTGCCAGATGATTAACTTGTACTTCACAAAAAACTATTTTTTCTTCCTGACAAACACTGCAGGATTTTTTTTCAGGTGCTGGTGGTTCTGTTGAATTCATTTTAGAATATTTTTCCATGCAAAATTGTGTACAAAAATCTTTAAATTGTCCTTTATCGCCAACTGGAGCTAAAAATCCATCAGAACCAGAGCTTATATCTTTTTGACAGTAACTGCATACCTTTAAGCCTTTTTTAAATTCTTCCAAGCATGTTGAGCAACAAAATTGACGTACATCATAACCAAAGCGTACACAATATTTACCTAAGCTCATCGCTGCGACATTTCCATTACAATTTCGACAGTAACTACCGTATTTAGTTTGAAATTTACCCAAACATTCTTCATTACAAAACTCCATGGTTTCCCAGGATAAGTTTCGTTCGTCATTTGTTTCAACGATTAATAAACAATTGGCACAACGTTTTTCATATTTTGAATTAGCTCCATCACTTGGTATATCTGTAGCTACATTATTTTTAGTGGCATACGCCGATTGGCATATATTTGAACAAAATTTATGTATTTCACTGCCTATTTTCAATTCAATATTGCATATTTTTTCACTTTTACATTGTTTACAAAATTGAACTCTACTTACTTCTTGAACTTCGGAAATTTTAGATTCAGCTTCTACGTCAATTATGTTGTCTACTACTTTTAGACCTGTAGCTATTTTAGCTACCGTCATTTTTTTTAAGTCTTTATTCTTCTCTTTCTCACTATCTTTATCCTTATTTTTATTATCTTTGTCTTTATCGCTTTCTTTTGCATTAGAATCAATAGCCGACAGAGATGCTGCTGATGTTACCGTAATCGTTGGAGTAGTTGCTGGACCGTCATTTACTTCTGGGTTAACTTGTACTTTATCCGCAATATTGACTTGATCTGGAGATTTTGATTTAGATTTTTCATTTGACTCATTATTTTTGCCATCGTCTATTTTTTTATCCGTTGTTTTGTTTTCTGACTGTGGTACAATTTTGGTATTATCCGGAACAATACATAACTCATCATCTTGGCCAGGTAATACAGGTGATTGATTATCTCCAGAAGTTTTATCATCATTTTTATTTTTCTCCTGCTCACTGACATCATCAGACTTATCACCCTTACTTACATGATCGTCGTCCTTGTCATCTGTCAATTCAATAGTAATTTCTTCAATTACTTTGTCTTCAGAGTCGCTACGCTCCTTAGGTGATGTAGGTTTGTCGGATTCATTGCCAGGTAGTGGCGACAAATTGTCATCAACATGTTCAGCAGAGTCTTTAGCGTTCAATACGTCCTGAAGATTGTCAGCTCGATCTCCAAGTTTTTTGAAATTAATATTCCGTTCTTCTAGATCAGCAGTATCTAATCCTTCTTCTGGCTCAGAGGCTAAAGTATCACCGCCAAATGGATCTTCGGCATCCATAGAGTGACTCTCAATCTGAGCCTCATCCTGTTTATTATCTTGAACAACTTGTACGAATTCGGTATTTTCTGTTTGGTCTGGCTTACTCGAGGAGTCATCTTTACTTTGTATTTCCATTTCAGTTTCCATTGATACTGACTTATTGTCTGAATTCGAATCTTTATCTTTTTCTTCAGTCGTAGCTACATCCATTGAATCGGTCATTTCTTTAGGGGAATCAACAGATATTTGTTCAATTTCTGATGGTCCCTTTTCGTCAACAGACATTGATAGAGTATCTTTAGCTTGATTTTCTTCCGGGATAACTTCTGCTTCACCAGTCGCTTTAGATTCAACCATTTTAACTGCTTCACTAGAAATATTTATTGGTTCAGTTGCATCGTCAGCTGCTTTATCAACTGTTTTTCTCGATGTTTTATCGCCCGTTGATTCTTTTGCCGAAGAGTCAGTATCTTGAGACGACTTTGATTTTTCACAGGCAATATCATCCAAAGCAGATGTTTCAGAAGTAGTTTCATTTACGCTAATTAATTCATTTTCATTGGTCCCTAATTTAACATTACTAATTGTATCACTGGAAGTCTCATTTGTATTTTTTACAGTTTCTTCATTGTTAACAACTAATTGAGTATCATCAACTGTTAAATTAGTTGACAATTCATTTATATTAGCAGAACTTGAAGCAACACTTGCTTCGTCTTGATTATCCATAATAACTATTGGTGATGAATCTAAAATAAAGAATAAATAATTAAATTAATGTATGCATAGGCATAAATATAAAATTAAAAGAATGAAAACAAAATTTTAAGCTTATGGATGCAATATTCATTCTTTAAAAAAAAAATCAAATAGTGTAAAAAAAAAAAGTAAGGTTATATTATTGCTTATATTTTTTCGTAATGTTCAATCAAATATATAGGCATACTAAAATTACTCAAATAAACAATAATATTGAACAGAAGGTATTGTTATCAACGTAATGTATATAAAAAAAAGTGTCAATTAATAATAAAAAAATAATATAATTGTAATCATAAATCGGCATACAAGTGCGTTAATAGCCGCCGAGTCGTTTATTAAGATATAAAATAAAAATTGTAAAAAAAACACGTTTTTTTTTTTTACACTAATAATTATTGATTAAAGATAAATAATTTATAAATAATCATACCTGTTTATTTGTCAATGTTTGTAGATTTTTGAGTTATAATTTTGCATTTATAACATTATTATCGTATCGTTAAGTTGCACACACTCTCGTTACACGAATTGAATTTATATACCTATGAAAAAGGATGGAGACAAAAGTTTAGCGCACCCAACAGCTTATAAAGGTAAGTTTTTATTTAGCAATATTAGTTTATATTCTACCCGCTTGAAAAAATAAAATTATATTATTGGCTGTTTTGTAAAATACATGTAGTAAATATATAAAACTGGCTTTATCATGGACACCGAAAGTAGCGCTTCTGTGGAATACATATGAATTACTATTTCAAATTTTTCAATTAATGTAACAAAACAAATTTAATTTATTTAAAAGTTAAATAGTTTTTTAACACAGTAATTGCAAAATTTTTATACTTAATTTTTAATTTAGCACTTACACCTAACCCAAGGAGTTTACTCCATAATTTATCGTGAACTATAGAGTCAAATGCCCGTTTAAAATCGACAAATATGACATAAGCTTTGCCTTTTTCCTGTCTAAGATTTGTACTCCTAACTCTAACAACTATCTTAAGAGTAATGTAGAGTTACAAGTTAAAAAAGTCTTCGCTCAAATGCGCACGGCTAATAACTTCGGCTTTAAAATAATTATAAATGGTAAAAAGTAAATGAATTCTTTCCTTTTCCTCAACTGCCCTATTTGCATGTCCGGAGAAAAAGATACATTGGCTCACTTTCTGTTCAGCTGTCCTACCCTGGTAAATTTAAGAAAAGATTTTCTCAATAGTATTGGCATAGTACAAACTCATAACAGTCTAAATGAAATATTAAACTTTCATAAGCCAAAACATCTAAAAACATTATGACACTGAAGTTAGCAGGCGTCTAAAAATTTTTGATTTTTTTTTTTTTTTAATAAAAGTACAACTAAAAAGATATTTATAAAAAATTGCACTTATAGTTTTTTAAGTTTTTAACATATGATATTTTTTTTTTTAATTGTTTAATTGAAATTTTTTCGATAAAAAATTCATAAAAATTTTCAATTGTCAGCTAACTTCATTTTCATAAAACATTGTACCAGCTCACCGAAAAACTTTGTATTTTAAGAGGATCCATTATAAATAAATAATAAAACAATGTACTCAATTATAAATAACAATCTAGCATACTATATTTTATATCTCACATGTACTAAATATCTGTAATCTCTATTGCGATTGTAAAATGTACAAAAAGGCAATAAATATCTATCTATCTATACCTAATTTTTTTTTTTTAATATTGCTGTATTTTTCATAACTTTTAGACCCTAATTTCAAGTATTTTTTCTTAAAAATATTTATGTTCAAGTATTTTCTATTCATAAATCAAATTTTTCATCAATTTGACAGGCAAACTTTTTTTTAATAAGAAAAATTTTTAAATGTTAGTTACTGTGTTTTGAAATTGGGCATTAGGAATATAATGTTGGTGATCAAAGTAACTTCTAGTAACTATTAGAGTTACATTGCTAAAACAATTTCGATGAAAGAAAATATTTTTGTTTTTAGAACAATTTTACAACTTTAATTTGGAAAAAAAATAAAAAAAAAAAAACTATTAAAAAGAAGCAAAGTTAATGGTTATTTTTTAAAGTTGTTTTTTATCATGACCGAATTGTATATATATAATGAGTGTTTTTTTCATGCCATCTAAGTCAAATAACTAGTAGATGTTGTTCAAGTCAAGAGATGGATACTTCCATCTTCCCTTATTGGTCGAGAGATATCCTCTCTTTACATAAGTTCGATGGAAATCCAGGTTCGATTCCTGGCTTGGCAACCAACCCCATTTATTTTTTCAAAGTCTGTCTTTACTCTCATTATAATAATTTTCTTTCATTTCTTTCATTTAATTAACATCTTCACTCGAATAGATACTACAAAAGCTTACAGCTTTACTGGCCCGAGTAAAAAAGATTTTATATAATTAGATACAATTATGTATAAATTATATATAATTATTATATAAAAAAAATGGCCCGATAAAATTTGATAGAAATGGTATATAATTGTATAAAATTATATAGAATTATGTAGAATTATTTCCATAGAAATAAAAATATCTGGCGTGGGCAGGGATCGAACCTGGGACCTGACGCTTGGAAGACTGATACACTACCTATTAACCTACTAGAACTTACTTGAAGGACTGAGTGTGTAGTAACTATAAGTAATGAAAATCGTACACATGATCGATTCGTAATGAACAAAATTTTTTATGAAATTTATAAATTATTCATTATTAATATATATGTGTATATAATAAAGATATCTATGAGTAGATTTATAGAATTATCTATGTATACGTAAAATCGCGAAAATGATTCTAAGAAATTTTTAAGGTACCTTAACACGTGTTCCGTTGCTTTAGAATCTATAATTACTTTAAAATTAAAAAAATAATAGAAGTAGAATCAGAATTAAAAGATTAAATTTTGAAGGAATTATTTGTTTAGTATATGGAACTATATATTGCTGAAGGGTCTTAAGTAACAATTTTTAAACTTGACGAAACTATTAATTTTTGTGAAATTTAATTTTTTTATAAGTTAATAAAGTTCCTATTATTTGTGTTAGAAGTGTCCATAAGTTGATTATTACTATTACTATTATTATTATTACTGATTGGTGAAGAACATGAAACATGAAAATTTTTATTTTCTGATGACAGTTCAATTGGAGACGAAGCACGATCTCTGGTCTGCGGTTTACATTGAACTTGAGTACTTTTATATAAGCTCCGTATTTTAACTTGAACAGCAGCATTCACTTTTTGACTACGAGTAGTAGGATAATCCTGACAAACATTGGACACATAGTTTTCTGAATCTTGATATGTGGTGGAATTAACTATGTCTATGCATTGTAGATCCATTCTTTCGATTGTATTACTTAAATTTTGGTTTATTGTAACCTTATTAATATTAAAATCGTCTTTTTCAAAGTCTTGCTGATCTAGTTCCATCGGGGAAGTCTCATTTATGTTAATAGAATTTGACTGCTCAAAAAATTTATGTGGCACAACATTATTTTTCATTCGCTTGTTACCACCAACCGTTGTCCACTCTAACCAATTTTCCATGTCTACTTGTAGCTAAAATTTATAAAAATTTATTAATAACTTATCAACAACTTATAACTTATTTATTAATTACTACGCTTATAAGAAAAAAAAAATTTAAGGTTATGATTTTATTTTAGATGAATTTCAGGTATTTTTTTACCAATACTTACGTCAAAATGATCTTCACAACAATACAGCCGACTTGATGCTGAGTAATAATTTTTATTTCCACATGCATCTAACCAATTTTTTCGTTTCGATGCATTTAATGGAACATTTATAAAAATTTTATTTGCCTTAGATTTACCAGTATTTTTACATGTTGGCACTATACACCAACAACAACCATTTTTTGATGCCATCAAATAATTAAATAGTTCTTGATTATTATAATAAATAACACTACAAAACGGTTTTTTTTAAACAACAATCACAACAGCTGATTACACGTGCTTAAAAAAGTGTACCGCAAGAGATTGGCGCCAACAATTTCAAACAAAATATGCACTATGACGTCACATACGCGAGAGGGAGTCACTTATTCGTTTAAATTTCGACTATTTTTTATTTATTAAATAATTTAAATATTTATGGAAAAAAACCAAAAATTTTTTTTCCAAAAATTCAAAAAAATTCTACAAAATTATAAAATACTAAAAGTTAAGGAATATAAAAATCTTGCAAATACCCAATTGCCTCGCTCACGTTACAGCGGCTGAACATGACACGAAACCAGCCTCGACGCCACCAACGACCAATCCGGGATTTAATTTTATCATCTATAAAATATATGTACTGACAGAGTACAGCGGAGTCTCTCAACTTCAATTCTTGACCATTTTCCATTAAAAAGAGTGGGGGGGGGGGCGTCTACTGCAGTTTATTCTTCAACTTCAATTCTTCGAATTTGGACATCTGTCAGTTGAAGTTGGGGAGACTCTACTGTAATCGTTTAGTCCTGGATAAAATTTTATCCTCGATTGAAAAACTGGCTCTTAGTGACAGTAATATATGTGCATGCTACATTTTATTGTACCTCATATGATACTGAAATAAAAAAATTAAGTTAGCCGACATTTCAAAATTTTTGCAAAAGAATAAAAAAATTTCAATTGTAATTGTTTTAAATTTCTAGATGTGGAATTTTTCACATGAAAATTAAGTTAGCCAACATCTAATAATTTTTTTTATTGAAAAAATTATTACATAAAAATAAAAAAAATTTCATTTGTAAAAAATTTGAAAAACTTTAAGTGCGACTTTTAAAAAATATTTTTTTGCTCCAATTTAATAAATGAAAAAAAAAAAAAATTAGAAACGTCGGCTAACTTTAGTATTATTAATTTCAGTATTATGTACCCCACGTAGTCTCTTTTTTTATTGAAAATAAAACGAAAGTCTTAAGCTGAGAGCTAACTCTACACTGATAAAAACGTCAATTTAACTTGATTCAAGAGAAAAAAATCTTGAATCAAGAATATCATTTTGAAGAAATTGATTATTTTCTTAAGAATTGAATTCAATCAAGAGAAAAAATTCTTAGATAAAAGTCTGTAGGTCTCATAGTTTCAGAAATGTCGTGATCAGTCAGTGGATAACTGAAATTCTCATATCTATATTTAGATTATTTAACTTTTCCACTTTTTAATCAATTTTTATAATGCTTAAATTAATATCAATATTGTTAAATATTAGTTCAGAGTTTTTAGGTAAAAAAACTAATAATTAAATCTAAACAGAACTAATTTAGTTAATTTTATTTTGTAAATAAAAAATGATTATAAAATTCTTTAAAAAAAAATGAATTTTAATTTAACTGGAATTCAAATAAATACCTTTTAGGATATATAAGAAAATTATAAGGAAAAAGTAATCGTAAAAATTTGATATTTTATCACGCGATATTGTTTTTTATTTTTTTCTTCACGAGGTACACGAGTTTTATTGTTACACATTATCGCAATAATATAATAATCAATATTATTCAATCAATTAATTATTTTCATTTCTTTAATTTTTTTTTGTCATTTCGATAACTTTTATTTATCATTTAAATCTGCTGTATAATTGTATTTAATTAATATATATGTATATATTATCATACTTTCAATGGATTCAACAACATATATTTTTATTTATATATTTTTTATTTATATAGGTATGTGTACGCCGTATATACATACATAAGTACCGAAGTATATATTCTTACGGTTAAATGTTTTATATTCTTCTTCATTTATTTATTCATTATTTATTTTTTTAATGAAGAAATATCATAGATAATTCAAATAATATTCTATTAACATCAACTCACTGGACTGAGATATGACTAAAATATGTGTCATGTTTATTTTTTATTTTTTTTATTTAATGATTATTCTTTTCACAAGTAAAAATATTGCTGCATCTGAATAAACACGATATTAAAAAACAACAAACAATAAATCATTAACAATCGTGTTACATCAGAAAGTAAAAAAAATACTATTTATTAACTATATAGTATTAATTAATAATAAATATGTCTTTGAAAATATTACTTTTAAACTGTAACAATAAAATGCAAATATCCAGTACGTTCAATAAATATACTAACTTAATATGCTTTTTTTTAATGTTATTACAAATAATATTTTTTTTTATTTTAAGTTATTTTTCCTCAGTAATCATCTTTTATTCATTATCCTTGACGTTAGGCCCTTTACAATCAACTTTTTCCTACTCAAAACTCACAAAAATGCTGCATATAATTACAATTTATATAACAATATAAATAGTTCACTTAATAAATAATATTAAACTCACATATAACTCATTTAAAATATTTAATTAATTATAACCATAGCTCATATTTCATACGATTTTTTTTTTTTTTTTAATTATTGTTTTTTCTGTTTTTCATTAAAAAAGGGAAGCTTTTATTTATCATTTTTGCGCATTTAATTATCAATATTAGTATTGATTCTAATGCATAATTAATCAATTATTTTTGATAAACAAAAAAAAAAAAACAATATTCATTTATGTAAATAACATACACATATTTCTACATATTTAACTACGAGTAAGCTAAAATCCGGTTGTTGATTTATTATTTATTTTATTTATTAATTTATACTTCATTTTAATATTAATATTAATATTATCATTATCATTATAATTATTTTTATCATTATTAATTTTATTATTATATTATTCAGTTATCTATAAGTGACTAACAACAGTTAATTTGTCTGTACAGAGGCTGGCGCAGCATTTATTTATTTATTACACATTTATGAGTTTTGTGCGATTGATAATATGAGCGATGATTACGCACAAGCATTTTGCAGACTGCTTATTATTTTAATTATTTTTTTTTTTTTAAGAGATATTTCAATATATAATGTTTATTCAAATTTATATTATCATTGTTATTATCTTTGATTACGCAAATAAGTGGTTATCAAAAAAATTTTAATGAGTTAACAGATAAATAAATAATTAATAATTATAACTGTTGATTTATTTAAGATCCTCGTCTTCGTCGAGTAGTTCATCCATTTGTTGTTCCCAGTCTTCTTTTCCCTCCTTAACAGATGCTGTTGATGATACCGAGAAACTGTTGTCTGTTTTTGACGACGTTGTCTTTTTATTGTCACCAGGTACAATCTCGAAATCCTTTAGTTCAGCTTCCAATTCACCTTCCCATTCTTCTTCTGCGGAGAGAGTCACAAGCAGCGTTGAAGCTAGTTGATATTTTCTCGAGGGTTATTAGGTATGTGTTTATAATTTTTTTGTATTGTATTTAAATGAATGCGAGTGTGTATGTGTAAGTGTGTGTGTTTTTTTTATGTTTGTGTATATTTGGGTTAAAGAATTTTATGAAATGTATGAAAAAATAAATAATACAATACCGTGATTACGTATTGAGTAATGTAGTAGTGAAGGTTTTTTTTTTTTTTTTTTTCAGTGGAAAATATTGGAGGATGAACAAAATAAATAATAAATAATAATAAATATAAATAATTCAAACCCATGGAGAACGATGTTTAAATGGATCTTTTCTCTAGTATTATAGCTCTAAATTATATTAGTTATTAGATTTTGCAGATAATGTTTATTTTTGTGTAAATTTTTAGTAAATGAAAATACAGTCACTTAAATTTTTATTTTTAATAATGATATGAAATGACAATAAATAATTTTATTGACTGATAATATAAATAACAAATGACCATATTTTCATATAAATTTTGTGCTGCTCAACACCCTCTTTAGTATAATAATAATAATAATTATTATTATTGAAGACTTTATTCCTTTAATATTTAATTTTAGTTTATGTAATAAACTTTTCAAACTCTTTCTATTCACATATTTATAACTATTGATTTCAATTTATTAGCTCATGTTTGTTTGTTTTTTTTTTAATTGCTGTCTTTAATTGAATCCGATTCAGTACCTACGACCAAAGCTCTTCATGAAAACTTTAAATGGTTGTGCTTACAAAGCTTGTAAAACAAGTGTAAATACCACAGTTTATTTCAATTCGCGTTTAAAAAAAATTAAAGGAAAGTATACTTTTTTTTTTGTTCTTTTATCTTTTTGCCAGTGAAATGAGTTGTCGTGTAAAAAAGACACATTGGCCGTAGGCTTTTTAACTTTTCTTCTTTTTCATGTAGTACTGTTATATTGCACAGATATACTCCAGAATAACGCGTATTTTATTTTATTTTGTTTTTTTTTTTTTTTATATTTTTACTACCCAATAAAACACGTATTGTCATCCAACAAATTTAATTAGGTACCTATTTTAACTTTTTTATTTTATTATTTCATTGTAATAATGCATTTATTAAATCGTTTTTTTTTTTTTTTTTTAATTGTATAATATATTCACTGTCTTTTAATAATATGTATATTTATTACAACTTACAACTTTATAACACGGAGAAAACGAAGTCAAGATAAGATTGAATTTGACATAGACGGACAGATTAACAGACAGATAATCGAATTATTTTATTTTATTTGAATTTTCTCACAAGTTTTTTCTTTAAATTATATATTTTATTTTATTTTATTTTTGCCTCGTATAGAATAATTTTATTATATTAACGAACGTCTCATCTAATTATTAATAATAATAGTAGTCTATTTGCGAGTTTTTTTTTTATTTTATTGATAGATAAAATTTTTTTTTATTTATTTTTCTTTTCTTTTTTTTTGTCAAATAAATTCTTCAACTTGTGATGATACATATAATTTTTTTTTTAAATCATAAATTGCCATGTCAAATAAATAAATGATTTGTAAATTAATAAATAAACAAGTAAAAGATTGATGAGTGAATGGCATTGAAAAGTGTTTTGTGTCTTGATAAAATGACAATAAAAACAATAACAATAAAATTAAAAACGTAAGTGAAAAAATAATAATTGATAAAAATAAAATAATATTAATTGAAAATTATAAATGAATGTTAATAGGATGATGTCGTTTTGGATAATACGGGATTCTCCTCTTCTTAGGCTGTAGACAAAATAAAATAATTGCTTTTTCGCATTTTACTAAAAGATACAAAGCAGAAACCATAAACTGAATCAAAGTGTAATTGCTGCAAATATCACTACAAACATTGATAACATTCATATAAATAATTGCAAAATGTGCATTTGCAAAATAAAATTTTTTCAAAGCGGTGTTTTAATTTTTTTTTTTTATAATATTTATCTACTATACCACGTATATATTTTAGCGTGCTCAATTCGTTAAAGAATCATGTAATGCTGATACTTACGATTAATGGCCAGTTGAATATTGTAAGACAATTGTCTTCTTAGAGTTAATAATTATACTTCTTATTACAATAATAATAATTATATTATTAGTTAACATCGATTTTAAGAATATATTTTTTAAATTCTATATTTATAATTAGGTTCAGCGCCATTAATAATAATAATTGTAGTACATAGTTATCTATAAAGTCTTGAAGAATGATATTATCATATCAATTATCAACAGTCTATAAACTTTAATTACTAGTCAGCAGTAATAAAAAAAAAAAAAATTGAAAAAAAAAAAAGCTATTCTTTTGAATTCAAGACAGGAAGAAAATATAGAGAAAAATCCATTTTGTCTTTTGGGTTCACAACATTTTGTTCTCCTTTTTTTTTTTTTTCAAGTTCTCCGTGAGTTTGAACAAAGTTTATACGTTATTTACTGACCTTTTGACGCTTTCGCTCCTAACTTTTTAATACTCTCTTTGGTTTGTTGTGTATCATTGTCAGATGGTTGCATATTGTCGGAAATAAACTCATCGTTTGGTGTATTGGGTGTTGTTGTTATTGTTGGTTTTACCTTGGTTGTTAGTGATCCAGTTGGTGTATCTTTTATAGCTTCCTTTTTGCTATCTACTTGAACAGTACGTAGGAATAACACTTGCATCTAAGTAATTTACTAACTGACAAACTAACTAACTAACTAATAATCAAGCAAACTAGTGTACAATAATTGTGTTACTTTACTACTATGTTTGATATTGATAATTTATCAAAACAAATTAACTTTTAATAATTATTATTTTATATTCAAACCTTGATCATTTAATTGTCGACTTGTTAAGTGTGAACTTCATTCCACTGTAGCAAATTGTGAGAATATAAAATTTTATTTTCATTGTTTGAGTGGATGAATTCAAGTGACTATTTTAGTGTAGATAGAAAAAAATAAATATTTTGACATGACTATGGTACGTAAATTGTCGAATACAGTAATTATGATTAATAATGAAATAATTGACTATGCAGTGCATAATAAAAAGCAATGTTAATAAAAATAATAATTATTAATTAATACTTTTAAAACATAGTAGTAATAAAAATGCAAATATGCATGTAGTGACTTAATATTTGTAAAAATTTACCTTGAGGGTGATCGATGCTACCGGTGGATTGATTAGGATTACTTTCCGCTTGACTTGCCATCGCATTTAATTCGTGACTTTGACGAAGTAGTGAGACTCGGTAAAAGTAATTACGCCAAAAGTTTTCTTCGCTTATTCTGTAATATATATTTTTTTTAATTTATTAACGACTCAAAAACTTAATTACTTTTTACATAAAAAAAAAACTTATTTCTTAACCATAAAATTGCTTGTTAAAGAAAAATTTATATCAATTTAAAATTTGCTTATTAAATTTGATCTTGTAATGAAATAATAGATAAGAGATCTTAAATCTGCAACCGAATATTTCATGAGTTAATATCACAAAATACAATTTTAACGATTTAAGATCTCTTATCTATTATTTCATTACAAGATCAAATTTAATAAACAAATTTTAAATTGTTAAAATTGTATTTTGTGATATTAACTCATGAAATATTCAGTTGCAGTCATCATATTTCTTTAACAAATAAATATGTAAAGTAATACTATACTGAGAGTTTTTTTTTAAATTTCTATCTTTACACACTTAAAAAAAATTTAACTTGAATCAAGACGAAAAATTATTGAATCAAGTAAAATTTACTCAGGCCAAGAAAAATTTCTTAGTTTAAGAATTTTTTTATTCAAATCAAGAAGATAAAGTTCTTCAAAATTATTCACTTGATTCAAGCAAATTTTTTTTTCTGTACAGGTTTTTTATTTTTAAATAAAAAAAGGTAAAGAAACTTACACTTTGGGTACTAGCTCGAACCTCATGTTCTCTAAATTAGGATCAAGAGCAAGCGTTGCTTGAGCCATAGGTTGTACAGCTTCAAAGTCCCAATCAAATTCAACACCTGGTGGTGGAGCTCTTACAAAGTTACGACGATCCTATTAGAAATAATAATAATAATAATAATATTTTATCATAAAAAAGGCAGCTGTGTTATGATTTCTTTATAAAATTTATTCAAACATAAAATTTCTCAGAAGTTAGAGAGCATATTTGCAAAGCTCTCTCGGATATAAATTTTTTTGCCCGTTTAAATCTATGTATAGACAAGAAAACACATAACCATATAGTAAGAAAAAAGCATACTTTTGTTAGTATATGGTATTACTCACAGTTGAAAGAGCCAGACATTCTTCGCGTAACGCATCTTCGTTTGGTGCTCCAATCCATGGAGCTACAGCCTCACCTTTTTCGTTATTTTTACCGGCAATAAAAGCATCTTGCTCTTTGTTCAATTCTGCGATCAACCTCTGGAAGAGAAAAAAAAAAAACATAAATAGAGATAACATTTATGTATTTGATAAGTCGTATTGTTTATTGAGGATTAAATTTGTGTGATGTGAATAAACCTAAAGATGAAATGTTCAAAAAAATGTGTTCTTATATTCTTATGTTCAAGTAATAGAAGCAATTTATGAATCGATGATAAATTAACTAATAAATTATGAGACTAAAAATCAGCAGACACCTGATACCTGATCATTTAAAGGATTTTTTTTTTATAAATTAGTAATAAAAAAACTATTTTTGAAAAATTGCATTTGAAGGTTTAAAAAATTTTTCTCTTCATAATTTATTTAGTAAAAACAATTCTGAAGAACCTCAGGTATATGTTAACTTCAATATGATAATAAATTGGCGTTTAATTATAGGTCAGTTTTATTTATCTAACTAATTTAGAGTATATGATTTTCAGAATAATTTTAATTTATAAACGAAATAAAATCCAAATAATCAAGAAGAATTTCTGAGTCAACTCAAAGAGAAAAGAGAACAGAAAACAATATAATTACAATAAATAGATATTTAAAATAAGTAATAAAAGATTAATTGAAAAACTTATTTATTGATGGCTATATCAAAAATTTTATGATAAATAAAACAGTCTTATTGGGTTAAGCTACTCGGAATATAACAGCAGAAAAATTTATATGGAACGACTACGACTTGTTCGTTCAATATCGATTGAAGGTTGTGAAAATGTTCTTGTGCGCCAAACTACCCAACTAATACATAAAATTGTTATGTCCTACTCTGCTCTGCTCTACTCTACTCTGCACTCTAAATTGCGTTGTGTCACATTAAAATAACTACGTTTAGAAATCCGCCATTTGAATTTCAACTAGAACGTAGATGACAAAACACCGTTTTATAAAAAAAATTTACAACAATAATAGATTTTAATGTTTTTGAATTTAAATTCTACGAATAAAAATTGTAAATTAGTAAAAATTTTTTTGTTGCCTGCTATAAGAAAAAAAAAAGATAATGTAAAATTAACATTCGCATTCTCGTACCGATACTTCATTATTTTTTTTTAACATTGCGAGTAAGTGTTATTTTTGATGTAATGATATAACTATACGAACTCTAAAAACCATGTCGATCTTCTCCAAGAACGTCAAAATTGCTTGATTGGTTCGTGAGTTATCGTTGTCGAAAAAATTCGAAAAAAGTGAATTTTTAAAATTTCTCCAAAATTTTCGGTCTGATCAGTTTATGGTTAAAAATAAATCCGACCGCGTGAAAATCGGTTTTTCTATTCAAAAGTAATTGCAGTTTGAAAATTTTAAGAATAGTGTTTTGTTAAACTTCTATCAGACTTTTGAGCATAGAACAGCTAACTCTTTGAGCTCGAAGAGCTCAAAAATGTCATGAGTCAATTTTAAGCGCGTAGGTATGGAATTAACGGGAAGTTGCCGGGATGACCTTCAGGGTCAAGCGTTTTCCTAATTTTTTTTTCTTTTTATGATCATTGTCTTTTTCAATTTAAAAATTCAACCAATATTGTGAAAGAAAAAAAATAAAACCTTTCAGCATATTTAATAATATGAGACCTCACTTATCGATAGTTCATTTTATTTAATCTAATTTTTTTTCTCGTACAAATAAAAAAAGTCTCTATCAATCTATCAATTGACTGACTTCGCGAAGAATCTATATAAATACTATTTGCTATCTCTTGACGTTCTTGAGATTAAAAAATACCTTGTACTTCGACACTATTAAGTATTTTTGTTTTACATTTTATTTATAAAAAGTATTCTCTAACGTTTACAATTTACATTGAAAATTAATTTTTATGTAAATTAAATAAATTACTTGATATTAATATAATGCAAGACAAACATTATAGCATGATGACGCAATATTAGAGTTTATCTTCGATCAAATGACTGATGTGTCGTTAAATCTTTGAAGTTTATATAAATTAATATATGTCATAAAGCTTGATGAGCTATACATCCAGCTATCTATATATATAATGTCACAGAGTATTCAGATAACGGACATTGATTTTCTCAACCCTTGGCGCAACGCATCTCCAGGGATATTTTGACGCAAGCATCAAAATTATGTATTCAAGTCATGTTATATATATTTACATATGTATAATATAATAAGGTATATGGAAGTAATTCAGTTTGGTAGATACTTTACGTTTGTATAAATTGCAGGGAAACTTTTTAAAAAAATTGTTTCAAAAATAAATATATTTTTTTTTCTTATTAAACTTGAATTGGAAAATATGCTCGATACATTTTCCTCACTGATAAAAATTTTAACTTGACTCAAGAGCAAAAGTCTTGAACCAAGAACACCAATTGGAAGAAAATGAATTTCTTGAGTCAAGAGGAAAAATTCTTGAGTCAAGATAGATTCTCTTGAATTAAGAAAATTATCTTGACTCAAGAATTTTTCCTCTTGACTCAAGAAATTCATTTTCTTCCAATTGGTGTTCTTGAGTCAAGTTAAAATTTCTATCGGTGCTTAATTTTTTACTTTCAAATTGAATTTTTTTTTATTGACACTTTTCAATACAAAATTTAACAAAATAAACAAATAATATTTGCTATTGTATTATTAAATAAAAAATGATTTGTTTCCATTCAGTTGGAGGTTTAAATCAATAAAATTACTACAATAGGCTTTTCTGCAAGATAATTTCATTGTACGGTTAACAGTAGAAGAATGCATAGGAAATAAAAGTGATAATGAAATCTTTACTATTGAATTTATAGATTTTTTTTTGTATTTTTTTAGAATAACTATAACTATGGTCTTTTAAAATACGCAGAAAATTATTTATATATATATAAAAAAATTTTTTTTTTAACTATTCAATAAGATAGGCAGGTATTGTCCTGCTATCAATCGAATGGTACGTGATGAGAATGTCATGGCATTATTTGATATACGTCATACAATATTAATGTCACGTATTTATAAATTTATAAAACCATTAAAATGGGTATTAATTGAAATAACGAAATAAAGCGAATTGGTATAGTTGTCAATTTATTAATATCGTACTATAAATTAACTGATATTATTAAATAGTATATTCACAATGAGAACACGTAATAGTTAAAATATGAAAAACGAGATAATAAAAATATAAAAAAAAAAAATAAAGTACTGATGTATTTCAATTAATTAACAAAGAGATAATTTTAATTATGGTGCTGGGAAATAATAGACGAGAAGATATATTATCCATTTGTGGAATTTAATATTGATTACGTTCCATCATCCATTAGTGAAATCGATGTTTTTATGATTGTTATTGTCTAATAAATATGTATGTTGATACATATACATGTGTATTACGTGTAATCCACATGTATAAATCGTTAAAAGCTATTTCACATGTGTAAATCGTTAAAAGCTATTCAAAAGTTAACTATATCAAAGATGATTTAATTGAACACAAACTGAATTGCTCCTATAAAGTTGTTCATTAAACTTTAACAAGTTATTAACAGAATTAAATTTATAATAATATTTAAATTTTTATTTCATATTTTAATAAAAGTCTAAACAATATAATTGTTGTCTTTTGTATTTTTACTCTTATCAATTTCCACTACGAGAACAAATTTTTTTTTATTTTCAAGGACTTCGTCCTGACTCGGAAGTAAAGCAGGAGCTGATTTCGATTTAATTGGTTGCTACGGCAGACGCTTAAAGGTCAGCCGATAAAAGAAATTTGTCAATTTCTAGGCAAATTTATAAAGCTAGTAAAGGAAGGTGGGGAAATGTCCGATGAAGTTCAAGACACGACAGCTCATCCCGAACTGGGTGACGTCGTCTAGTTGGCAGCCAAAGAGAAAGGACATCTAGTGCAGTCAAATTTTAAATGCCGCTCAGAGCCTTAATTTTACTCTTTATTCTTGTTATTAAGTGTCATAAGGTAAAATTTAAAATCTAGTATAATTAGTCTTAATTGAAATATGTAAGTGTCAGTTGGTGGTAACATTCAAAGTTTTTAATTTAAAATTTAAAATTTTAAATTCAATTCAAACTGTAAATTGCAGTAAACCATAGTTATAATTAACGTAGATTTTAAAGAAAAAATTGTAGAAAGTAGTTTCTACAATTATAATTTTGAAAAATAATTTTGAAGAATTTAATCTTTTTGATTTGAGTAGAAAAATTCTTAAACTAAGAAATTTTTTTTGGTTCAAGTAAATTTTACTTAATTCAAGAATTTTTCATCTTGATTCAAGACAATGAAACTCTTCAAAATTATTTTCTTGGTTCAAGAATTTTTTTTTTTTTATTCAAGTTAATTTTTTTTTCTGTGTGGAAAAAATAAAACAGCACTGATTACTAATTGTCCAGTACTCAGTAATGTTTTAGAAAAAATGAGGGCGCTTTGTAAAAACTACTGGCTGCTATCTGTACGTTACTGAGTCTATGAATATTTTTCTAAAATACTACTGAGTTTTGTACGAAACATTAATTATTACTGTATTTTTTTCTCTGTGTACAGCTGTACAACGAATAAAAAAATCTATCTATTTTTTACTTTTAAAAAGTAACGTTAAAATTATATATATAATTTTTTTTTTTTTTTTTTTTTTTAGAATATTAAAAGATTTACAAAAATGGAATAATAATATGATCATTATTGTCATCATCTTAATTTAGATAGCTCAGTGGTAGAAAACTCAACAAGTAATCTAAAGATCGCGGGTTCGATTTCCCGCCTGAATTAAATTTTTATCCCCGCGTTCTTAAGTACGTTTGAAGATTAAAATTATTGCATTTTCTTTAGTAAGTTAATAATTAATTCCAAATTTTTTAATTGAACTTATTAAATTACTTTTTTACATGACTAGAAAATAATTGTCATTATGATTGGATGTTTTTGCAAAAAATTAATATAAAACATGTAATAATTAATTATTATTGATAAAAGCCAATTTTGAAGAAAAATATTATTCTTATTACTTATATAATAGAAAACCATATATGAGACAGTATATTG